CTGAGTGAACCAAACTGTGTGTATGTATGAGTGAAACTAAGCCACGTTACTTTATTTTATTCACCTGATTGTTTATTTTCCCTGTGTGTATTTAAATAAACCTTATTCTTTTTATTGTTTAAAAATCCATCCCTGGTCTGTGTGACTTCTTAAAGGGAATGGTTGGTGGCAGCTTAGTTAACGTGTGGCAGATCCCAGTAGGTCTGGGTTTGTCACACTTTCCTGTCACAGAATTAGGGAAAAATGCTTCAGATATTTTGGGCTGTTTCCTTGCTGAATGTTGGTTTCAAGGTCTTTCTTTCAAAGCAAAGGTATAAAATGCATTTCCTATTAATAATTCAACATTTAAATATTGAAGATCGCATTTGGTGTAGTGTCCAGAATCCTATCTGTGTTTGTGCAAAGTTTGCTTAACTTGCTGCAGCTAATTGACAAGGTGCTGGGGTATGTCTTTGTTGTGCACTTTATCAGGCAACCAAGATGAGCCCTGGGGCCGTTCAGTTAACCAAGGTTAGCCATGGCAAGTTATGCAAACGTTAAGTGAAAACCAGTACGCTTCTAGTATTTTTTGAATTAGTCTTAATGATTCACAAAACTGCTTTGTAGTTGGATTGGAGGGATGGTCTATGTTTTGTGGGTAGTTGATACCTTTCTCCAGCCTTGTGTTCTTTCCAAAAGTGAAGAAAACGGGGTACAATCCACAAAAGGGTTGGTGTTCTGTTTCTTTCCCCCTCTGGTCACCAATGCACTAGGTTAGTCTGGAGAGAACAGTTATGTGAGTGTCTTGCATATTCCCATCCAGCTTTCCCATTGGTAAACTTACCCAGCCTGGCCTCTTATGGAGTGGAGTTCCACAGCCTGGAAGCAGCCACTGAAAAATAGCATCTTTCACTAAATATATCTGTGAAAGTGGCAGAACCAAAGACCTTGAAACGTAGGATCCATCATGATTTAAACCACTGTTAAAAGGACTCAGCATCTGGTTGTTTAAGCCAAACCATAATGTTTGGTCTGTCCTCCCTGGTAAACAAAGAGCCCCCCAAGGATTTTCCAAGGTGTGCTTGCACCATGCTAGTATACATGCTGCCATTCCCCCAACATGTCAAGGATACTTTTTTTTTTTAGCAGGAAGGAAAAAATGAACATTAAAGTTTGGTTTCACTAAGCAACAGAAGTTCTCCTTTGTCTCCTAAAACAACATTTATAATGCCTACTCTATAATGGGGATTTTGGGCTTTTATATTTTATATCAAAACTTTTATAATACAGCACTTTTCAAAAACAAAAGGAATTTTAATAATAAAAATTTTTGAACAGTGGTTAGAATGCTGTTGCTTAGTGTAGCAATTCGTACTAGAGGAGGCTTATTGAATCAATGGAGATTTGCTGAGTCTACTCATCTGTAGTGGGACGTGGTGGCGCTGCGGGCTAAACCGCAGAAGCCTGTGCTGCAGGGTCAGAAGACTAAGCAGTCGTAAGGTCGAATCCACGCAACGGAGTGAGCGCCCGTTGCTTGTTCCAGCTCCCACCAACCTAGTGGTTCGAAAGCATGCAAATGCAAGTAGATAAATAGGGACCACCTCGGTGGGAAGGTAACAGCGTTCCGTGTCTAAGTCGCACTGGCCATGTGACCCACTTTTCAAAAACAAAAGGAATTTTAATAATAAAATTTTTTGAAAAAACAGTGGCTAGAATCTTGTTGCTTAGTGTAGCAATTCGTACTAGAGGAGGCTTATTGAATCAATGGAGATTTGCTGAGTCTACTCATCTGTAAGTTCCATTGATTCAAATGGGCCTACTCTAACTTGACTTACTGTGCTAAAGTAAGTGACAATTAGAGTAGACTTGTAGGAATCTTGTATGCTTTACTATGCTAAGCAACAGGATTTTGACCAATATAAATTTCAAATATTTGAGGGTTTTAAAAAAATCTATTTTTATCTGGATTGTTAAAACTTGATGAGATACAGTCCTTCAGATTGTATACTTTCTTTATTATATGCAGTAGGAATGGGTGGTATGCTGAAATACTCAGTATAATAACATTTTTCTCCCTCTGTCTTCAATCTATAGTTATCAAGAAATTTATGATCCAGGGTGGAGACTTCTCACATCAAAATGGAACAGGTGGAGAAAGTATATATGGAGAAAAATTTGAAGATGAAAATTTTCATTATAAGGTAATAGGCTTAATAGCTACAATTGTAACTTACTGTGAGGGTTCGTTTGGAAGGGCTGTTTGTTCCCCAATAAATGGACGAGACGGTGGAGGTAGATCAAAGAGTTCTGTATTTATTTCTGCCTTAACACCAACCGGGTTTCCCCCTACAAAGGGGTTCAGAGATTCTTGTAAAACATGGCTTGGTTTCAACGGCGTCCACAAACTATTTACAAATGGGTTCGTCGTCTCTGGGTTCCAGGGGCCTGTTGTAGGCAGCACAGGTCCCAGCCCAGGGTCCAAAGCTTCTTCCAAGGAAATTAACGGTAATGTCTCTTCGTCTCCACTCCAGCCATCCCAGGAGGACCCATCTCCTCCATCTGCACCCCAGGGGCCAGGTAACCCCCCAGCTTCCTCAGCTCGGCGATATGCCATTGTTTCTTTCTCTCCAATTCCTGGGCAACGGCTTCTCTCTCCTCGCGGAGCTTCCTCCTCCACTCCTTAGCCTCCGTTTCCCCCCAATAGGAAGGTCGGGGTTTTAGTCCCAGCTGCCGACGCCTCTCGGCCTCCTCATGAGGAACCCGGACCTGTTCCCACTTATGGGTCCAGGGGTCCTCCATCCATACCCACTCCCAATCTCCTGGTATATCGCTCGGCTTCTCCCTTATATCCCCTACCCCAGCCTCAATCTCCACCCCCCGGTTTCCCGCCAGAACTCGTCCCGGATCCCGGGTGATTTTTAACTCCTTCATGACCTCCTCCAAATCGTGGGTATCTACCCCCTTGTTCAGGGTAAGGGATCCGACGCTTTCCTTCCCCCAATCAGGGGTCTCCACACCTTTCTCTTCCCGTCGCGGTGGGGATGGCGGGGGAGATGTCTGGGTGTGATGGGTACTCTTCGGGAGCGACGGCACTCCTATCATTGCCTCCATCTTGGGAGCCTCACACTTACCTGTAATTAAGAAAGTTTTTTTTTATTGTCGCCATTATACATCTGAATAAGAAAAGGGCATCTCTAGCTGAAGTATGATTGTAGAGCTATTGTTCAATGTTCTGATAGCATAACTAACTGGGGAAAATATTTCAGTCAACTATGTACTGTGAATTTAATTTGAGTTCTTACTTAAAAGTTGGTAATCGTTAATAAGGTGCTGTTTCAAAACATAAACATTTCATTCCTTAAATGTCTTGGGTGCATGTCTGGATCTTTTAGATTGGCTTTTTCAGCTGTGCACTTTCCAGATGCCTTGGATTACAAATCCCACAGCAAAATTATTGGTTGGTAATGGCAGAATTTGTTGTCTTGCATATCTGGAAACACTGATCTAAACACATGGATTTAACAGTCCTTTCAGTTAAACTTTGTTGCTGATCAATATCCTTTCTTCCCTTTTTCTTGCATTCTTTAGCAGCATTTACATTGTTCAGTACCTTTGAAACAGCCTAGGTTGTTTGTCGGAATTAATAAAGATTAATAAAGAATGGTGCCTTTATTGCGGTTAGAGGAGGATACAGATCCAGCAAAATACTGAAATGCAGCTACAAAGATTTTCTGGGTGTTCCCTCTGAGTGGGTACCTGCTGGAGGAGGCGGGGCTTTGGCTGAAAAATGAACTGCTGAATTGGCGGTTCATGCCCATCGCTACTATAGATAAATGTTATATTAAACTGGAACTAATTTGGTTAGCAATAATGGACATTTGCCCTTCCTTGGATAAAAAGTTAATAGATCAATAGGTAGAATAACAGCTACTTAGTTTATTTCAGGCTTTGCATGTGGAAGACCTCATGTTCCCTGTTGCTAGTTTATATAGTGTAAAATATCGCAGTCTAATGTGCATTCGCAGATTGTCTGTTTTTTTGCTGCTTAGGAATGAATTACTCTACTGAGAATAATACCAGTATCTTCTTATACAGCACGATCAACCAGGATTACTCAGCATGGCAAATGCAGGCCGCAATACAAATGGTTCCCAGTTTTTCATCACAACTGTACCAACTCCTCATCTTGATGGGAAACATGTGGTCTTTGGCCAGGTGGTCAAAGGCATGGGTGTTGTAAAGTTACTAGAAAACGTTGAAGTTAAAGGAGAAGAACCCTCCAAGGTAAAATAGAATTAACTATTTTAAAAGTTAGTATTAGGCAAGGTAAGTTTTCCTTCAGAGGGCTGTAAAATAATAGTTGCACTGCAGAGAGGAGTTATTTTGATTTAGTCAGCTATTGAACAATGATGCAATATTGTGCAATCAAACTAATGGTGGCTAGGCTGGGAATTTACTCTTGCAAAACCTTATAATAGGTATGGCTAATGCCTTCAGTAATTTTCCAAGAGTCTTGAATTACTCAACCAGAATTTCAAGTACTGTATGTTTAAGGTGAGGGCTGTTCTGGTGCACTTCTTCTGCCTGTGTAAACAACAGCATCACTCTTGAATTAGGGGAGGTCACAAATATTCCATGAAGTTAAATAGGAATGAGTTGATATGAACTGGATTTTTTTTATTTCTTTTTTTGGGAGGGGTATGTTATCTAAACATTCTAAACACATATATTTGATAGACAAAACTGTTCTTCATACACTCTTACTCTCTCTGTAGTTGTGTATTATTGCAGAATGTGGAGAGCTGAAGGAAGGAGACAACTGGGGAATTGTGCCCATAGATGGTTCTGGAGATACTTACCCAGATTTTCCTGAAGATTCTGACATGGATTTAAAGGAAGTAAGCATCCCAGTTTGTTCCCATGTACTAATGAGTTAATACTACTTTTTTCAGGATGTAGCATCAATCTCTTTAACCATGGAAACATTAGTAGGATATAGTGGGAGTGGAAGGGGTGCTTGATAGAAGATGCATCTGTCTTACCTTTGCTTTCCTGGCTTTGTAGCAATAGCTCAAGACAAACAAAAAGCATTGCTTATTTGCATAACATCTAATTATGAAACTTAGCTCTACCAGATATGGTTGTGTGGATGCTAACTTAGACACTTTGTCCTCACTTCTAATTTGTCATAGAGAATAGGTCTAAAAATTACTGCCTGTAGCAGGTTTAGTGGTCTTTGACATGCTTTGTCTCTACATGGTTACTTTAGATTCTACCACTAGTTACACCCACTAGTTATATGGCAGACTGCTGCCAGGTTGAGGTGTAAAAAACATTTTTTTCCTCAATGTAATTTTTCAAGTATTAAATAATAAAATCATTGTTAATCAAATTTCTTTATTATTTTTGGTAGATTGACAAGACTGTATCTGTAGCTGAAGATGTAAAAAATATAGGCAACACTTTCTTTAAATCTCAGAACTGGCCAGTGGCAGTTAAGAAATATGCAAAGGCCTTAAGGTAATGTTATTTTGCTGCACATAAAATGGGATTGCTTGGCTTTGGCCACATTTTCATCATGGAGAAGCAAAGTGTGCTGCCTGTAGCAGCGGTCCCCAATCTTTTAGCCCCATGGACTGGCTGGGGAAGGCGGGGCACCCCTCTGTGCTCATGCAAATCTGCGAAGGAGCACACACGCTTGTGGGCGTGGGCACGCTCGTGCACATGCGCAAAGGGTGGCACAGTGTGTGTGCTCGGGCACTCGTGTGCATGCACAAAGGGCGGCATGGTGCTCAGGGGGCACTTGTGTGCATGCGCAAAGGGGTGGGGGAGTGCTCATGTCAGCGCAGGTGCACTCGGGCAGGCACAAACGGGCTGTGCGGGGGGAGTGCATGCGGGGGTGGGGGAAGAGGTCTTTCTGGCAGTTCACCACAGACCGGTGCTTGGGAACCTCTGGCCTATAACAGTTAAAGCAGTCCGTGGGAGGTGTACAATTCAGTTATGCAAGCTACAAATTGCATACTCCCACCAGCAACCTGGGTAGTCAGTTTACCAACCTCAAAAGAATGAAAGGCTGAGTCAAATTTGAGTCAGGTATCACAGTCCATTGAGATGGAACCAACTTACCTTGTAATTTTCAGCCCCAATGGGGCTCTGCTTCTTTTTGTGACTCCACCACCATCCCGCTCTCAGGGTTCAATTGCAACCAGAACCAAAGGGTTTCAACATAATTGTTGCGTGGAGAAGGAAGAAGGAAGGTGGAGTTGTGCACTGTACGGCTTAAGGAGTTTAGGTCATGAATAGTCTTGACTGTAGTACTGCAGTTCAGCCACTCCACCACAAGGCTCCTTTAGTAAAGCAAGGGTTAGGGTTAGATCTAAACTAAATTATTTGGGCTCAAGCCCTACCTAAATCTATGGACCCTACATCTTCCAGGTTGAGGAGCTTTCAGTCTTTTATTATTTATTTAACAAGCAGGGATAGCACAGGCATGCTTCTGCAAACAGCTGTTAGTTTGGTGTTGTAATTTAAGAGTACATAACACTTCAGTGCTAATTTATTAATCTGGTTTTATACAGGTACATTGAAGCTTCTAAAGCTGTAGCAGAGAAGGTAGATTCAGCCAAGTTGAATGCTGCAGCATTGACCTGCTACCTTAACATTGCTGCATGCAAACTGAAACTATCTGAATGGCAAGATGCAATAGAAAACTGTACTAAGGTAAATGCAATCTCAGAAAAAAACAGGTGTTATAAATCAAATTGGTCTAAAAACATGAGCTTCTTGCATATAACATACTTATCTACACTTCGTTTTTTTGAATCAGATGCTTTTAATAGGGCCAACAGTTAGAGACAAATAGTTCAAAGTTATCATAGGGATATTTCCTTTAGCCTTTAAACTTTATTCCCCTTACACAAAAAAAGACTATTAAGATATGTCTTAAGCTACTTTTCCCATGGATTGCATCATGTAGAAAATATGTGCATTTATGTTCAGTGTATGTTCTTTTGTGTTTAAATGCCTCTAATGTAGTCAGGCCTATTCATGTGTTACATAAGAATGTTGGAAGGCATATTCCTGAGCACTGTTCTGCTAATGCTCCACACAAATGGGCAAGTGGATATAGAACAAGCATTTTGACACCACTGGATGCATGATAGAGCTGCTTTACCCATGCTAAACATCATGTGTAAATTGAGCCTGGCTAGCCAGAAGCCTGCGCCACTACAAGGTGTCACTTTGATTCCAAGCCTTTATTCTGGCTTATCTCAAATTGCTTGATCAGAGTACAGGTAAAGTTCTTTGAATTTGTGTATGTGCCAAAATGTAAGCAATGGGCCACAGTTTAAGTTGTGTTCTTTAGCACTCGAACACCAAGGAAATGCTGCTGAGAGCGAAAACTAGCCCTGTTCGGAATACACTTGAAGGTTGTTTTAGGTAGGAGTTGAAAAGACTATTTCTTAAAGAAGTCCTACTGTTCAAATTACATTGGGTGATTTCAAACTTTTATATAAGTTTCTTAGTAAATCTGTGGTCACTATATTTAATTTTACAGGCTCTGGCTTTAGATCCTGCAAACACCAAAGCACTTTACAGAAGAGCTCAAGCATGGGAGGCATCAAAAGATTACGATCAGGCACTGGTAAATACAAGAGTATTTTTGATAAATATAGGTATCTTCAACAAGCATACAACTTCCGTTTTGCTTATGGCTTTTTTTTTTAAACCCATTTAAAGGCTGATCTTCTTAAGGCTCAAGGCATTGCACCTCAAGATAAAGGTAAAGTATGCCTTCTAACAGCACAACCAGATGGCTTTATTGAAGAGGTACCCAAAATTCATAGAATACTTTTCATGGTTTCTTAGGCAATTGCATTTGCTTGCCAGGATACTTATCGCCATGTAGATTACTGTTTTTACAGAATACTGTATATCACATACTTAATGCAAATAGCTGCATTGGAATACAGGTCATTATCTTGTGCACAGCTTACATAGAATAGCTAGCCTGTGCAATAAATAGAAATGGATTTTGCATTCCATTTAGACGAAGAAACTTTTTATACAAGTGTCTAACCATTTTTTTTTCTTGATTTGCACAGCTATCCAAATGGAAGTACAGAAGGTGAAGCAGAAGATAAAGAAAGAGAAGGAAAAAGAAAAGGCAGCTTATGCAAAGTTGTTTGCTTAAGTCTAGATCGTTCTCCTTCCTTAACTTATGCACTGATAAAAAGGCAGAATTAGTATGCATAGCAGTGACAGTTCGTTTTTAACTGTCATTTATACTGATGCTGTTCCACATGTTTACATCCTTGGGGGCTTTTTAATTTTAAAGATTATTTCAAATACCACTATGTTCAATGATAAGGCACTAAAAATAATGGCACTTAAAAAAACTAAGGAAAAATTGCTAAGCAAAATTTTGGAATGATCAGAGATGCAAAGAATTTGGAGAAAGTTTAGTATCATATCAAAATGTTATGATTAGCAGGCTTTTTCTTCCTATATGTAACTTTCATTACTGTGGATTCCCATGTTGTCCAAGTAGTGTTAAAAAATAAACTGAGATTATAAGTGTCACACACAGAAAGCACGCTTTATTTCTTAACAAAATGATGTAATACCAAACAGTCCATAGTCAACATTGCCCTGTTCTTTGTATAATATGAAAGTCTGTGTTGGGGATCTTCAAGCTTTCAGGTCAAATTCATCTATCAGCTGTTCAGAGCTCAGCAAAAGACACATAATGGTTACAAAATATTTTAATGTCTACTTTCATGTCCTCTGCTCTGAATTATATCCATTATTAATACGTACCAAAATTTATTTATTTAATTTATATGCCGCCCACGCTACCCAAAGGTCTCTGGGTGGCTATAGGTAAATGGGCCAAAATATATTTTGACTCGTTTTAAAGCACTTTCTCATTTATGTGTCTTACAAAATAAACTCAAATAAGTCTGGTGTATCTGAACACACTTCACTTTATATTTTACTGTGTAAGGCACCAAGTTCCAGCCTCCAGCAGAATCCTAATCCAGAGGACCATTCCAATCATGGAAAGCTTTTAGTTTCAAATAGTAGTACCAAAATCAACTTATGACTGTGTACATTGGCAAAGAGTTCTTCTTGATTGAGGCTACATTCCATTATAAGCTGGTCCCCCTCCACCTTCCGGTACAACCCAATTGATATTTTGGCTGGGATCTTTAATATCACAAGTCTTGCAGTGGACACAGTTCTGAGCATTTATCTGTAATCGCAAGCCTTCTCCAGTTTCCACAGGAACATATTCATAAACTCCTACAAAATGGAAATTTTACTTTAGTGCAAGGGATAGTAAAATTTTGAAAAAGCAACCAAACTATCAGTGAGAAGCGCTTATTAATAAAAGAAGCAATTGAAGTCATACTGCATAAGAAAGTGAGACAGTAGAATAATAAAATCAACAACTGTAATTACCATACCCTCCATGCCCCAATAGGTACCTGCAGGGCAGAATCTTTGTTCAGGTCCATCATATATAGCTAGGTTGTGGTTGACAGGAACACTGTCATTCTTCAGAGTTAAATGAGGTGGTTGGTCATGTTCATGATTTGTGCCACTCAAAGCCACTGATGAAAGCAAATCAAAACTGATTTTTCCGTCAGGTTTGGGGTATTCAATAGGTGTGCAGTCTTTGGCTGGCTTCAGCTGCTTTGCATCTGTCCCTAAAATAATGAGGTTGACAGAGAGAAAACTAGTAAATAACTAATTTTTAAAAAGTTTAAAAAATCACTATAGTGGTGCCAATGCAATAAGAAGGGAGCATATATGAATTCCAATCATGCAGAATATCCTGAAAGAACTAATGCTTCTTAAGGAGTCTTGCTTTTCGCAAAGGTATATTATCACGTGAAGTCTGCACATGAATCCTTCAGTTATTTATTGTAATATTTTGAATTGCATGGCCAGCGTCAGGATGTAAAAATTCCAAGCCTTACTACAGAGACAGCAGAGGCCCAGCCTCACAAGAAGCATTGATCCTTTCTCCCAGAAATGTAGTATCAAAGAGCCTGAGGAAGTGGATTTCATCCACAAAAACCTGTTGTTTTATTTTTTAGTGGTCCAATAAAAGGTATCACCTACTCTTGCATCTGTGTGACCAATTTACAGTTTCGTAAGGAAAACTGCAGAAGACTTGGTGGCAAATTGCTGCTCTTTAGTGAAGTACTGTTGTGTTCCTAGGTACTCTCCCAAGAATGCAACCAACACCTCATTAAAAAGCAACAATTTGCTGCCAAGACATAACATGCTTTCCTTTGCATATAGGATTCAGGCCATTATTCCTGGTAAACCAGTTTTCTTATCTGAAATCATGAAGACAACATGACAAAATCATTTGACTATCAAGAATAGCAGCTTCAAGTTAAATCAATAGTTCACCACTGTACTAAGGAAAAAAACTTACTTCATTCTGTATGTACAACTTAGAACCAGAGTATTTCTTTACCTCAAATGCAGCTCCTTTGCTTGTGATGGAAATATTAAGTGACTATGACAGCTAGAAAAGGCTTCATAGTTATGCTGAAAGCTCACTAAATATAAATTAAATTTCAGGGATGAAAAGAAAATGTTGTTTTGTGAACAGCTCAAAACAGGATTGGAAAAGAAAAGAATGGGAAATTATGAATGCTACTTGCAACTACCTATGGAATACTGTATTCTTTTAAAAGTTTATTACAGCAATGGTCCCCAACCTTTTTGACACCATGGACCAGTTGGGGTGGTGGTGTCCATGCACGGGGCAGGGCATCCCCGCAGTTCCATACATGCATGAAGGGTGCTTGTGCTGCACATGTGCACACCGCACAAACACATGGGGGCACTCACGTGGCACATGCGCATACTCGCACACATGTGTGAAGGGGTGGGGCACTCGCATGGTGTGTGCACACATACATGTGAGAAGGGGCAGATACTTGTAGGACATGCGTGCACTCACACATGCGCAAAGGGGCTGTGTGGGTGGGGCATGTGGAGGGAGTGCGTGCGGGGGCGGGGCGGAAGATCTGTCTTCGCAGCCCAGTCTGGCCAGGGCCACAGACTGGCACAGGGCCACAGACCGAGGGTTGGAGACCCCTGTATTACAGGGCTCAATAATATGCACAAAAAGGCTGGAATATTTCCCTATGAAGAAAGCTAAACATCTATGGTCTGCATTTAGAAAACAACCTCAGAGGCTTACAGAAGCACAAAATATGTGGAAATGGGTTGAGCAACCTTTGTCCCCCTCATAATGACAACTTTTTAGATTACTTGGCTCTCCTCTACCTGCACCTACTACAAAACTAACTTAGAGGAATTTGACATCATAAAATATGATCATGAGCACCAAATGTCAAATGGTGATCACAAGCACCAAATGTCAATCCCAAATGAACTTTGAAGAATAATTTCTTTTACATAGGTTCACAGAGAAGGCTGAAAGTAATGATCAGTGGCCAAAATCCTCTGCAGTGCTGGCAGAGCAGTACTTACAGAAATGTTAAGGTACAACAGAGGATTCAGAAGGAAAGCCATTTATAAACTCCCAATTCCCTGACCCCAGCCATCCGAGCGAGCGGGTAGGGTAGAGCAGTAGCTGATGGAAAAGGAAATGCTAAGATGTGGAAATGCAAAACTGCTCATGCATTCAGAGGTTGCTCAACTGTTAATGTCTGAATAAGATCCTCCCAACCAGTAATTTTATACCAGATCAGCAGTGAATAACTGGCCTAACAGATGTTTTTGGATTGTGGCTTTTATCAGCCCCAGAGTGGGGCATGATGGATATACAGTAGTTCATCAACACATGGAGCTATATATTCACTCAATCCTATACGTATTAGAGAGATGGTCATAGGCTGGATATAAGGTATTCAGAGGCATCCATAAGCAAAAAGAAGATGCCTCTGAGTCCTTCATAACTTGCCTGTGACCATCTAACTAGATTATGTGAACATTTGATACAGCCAAGTAGTTAAATTCTTAATTATTTCCCTGCTAATTACCTATTAACCATCCTTGCATAAGAATGATAGTTAGCATGAAATACTCTGCATAGCACATACATCTATTGCCAGTTTAGAAAATTAATTACCTGGATGTTTCAAGGTCCAAGGCTCCATTCCTCTAAATATCCAATAAAATATGCCAGTATAAATCATTCCTCCATACACACCCAGGACTCCATGGCAGGAGGGACGGATATTTCTGACCGCATACAGCTCTTTCCATACCCATGATTTCTTCAGATTTTCTTCATATTCAGGTATATTAAGCCCTAGGAATAAGAGCTCAGAACATTTGTATTGTATATATAGCCCCGCGCTCCAAGGAGATGAGGTCTACAAATAAGCTAAGCTTTCAATGTTGCAACAAAACATGGGAGATATTATGAAAACAGGAAACCTAGAAGAACCAGAGAGTGATGGAAATAAGGTTATGGTTTTATTAGTTAATTTGCAAATCCCTCCTCCACAAATCAGCAGCTCTTTGCTTGAGGGTTAGAGTTCTATTGAAAGTAGCTGCTGAACAGGCCTACTCAGATTCCATTAACTATTTAGGCATTATAATGCTCCCAAATCTAGCTAAATTATTCCCTCCTCAGCAAGATTGAAGTACTCTGCAATGAATGATCTAAGATCAATTCCCTTGGTTGAATTTAAAGTTGCACTTAAAAAGGCGGCTACTCCAAAATTATTCTTCTCAATCTTCAGGAAGGAGACATCCAGGAATTGGTTAATTCTTTTCTCTTCATGCATTCTTACACCTCCCCCATGTCCCAGAAGATGATAAAAATCTTTTGTATATGGCACTGAAAAATCTAGGTGGTCAAATTCAGTCCAGTACAAAGAAGCAAACGTAACAGGACACAAGTGAATTAATCACATATCAATCTGCAACATGGTGATGAGACCCAGGTGAGCCTGATTTTCAGAATGATGTTGATGCTTTCCTTCTGTGACTGCTGCAATCCCTATTCTGCAAAGAGGAGGGAAAGCCATAGGTATCCCCGAAATTATGAAACAACTTCCTCAGAGATCTACGTTGAGTATCTCCAGTCTGACTATTGAGAGCCTAGAAAAAATGGTTTAGATACTTGTTACTTCATTTCCCCCTCACACTCATTCTTTCACCCTATTCTGTCACTCTGATAAATATCAATTCAAGCAGCAGAGTAGGATGGGCGCATATGGGCCTAAATGCTTTAATTCATCTCTTTAGGGCAGCAAACAAGGTAAAGGTAAAGGTTTCCCTTTACATTTAGTCCAGTCGTGTCCAACTCTAGGGCGTGGTGCTCCATTTCCAAGCCATAGAGTGAGCGTTTTTGTCTGAAGACAGTTTCCGTGGTCACGTGGCCAGCACGACTAGACACAGAAAGCTGTTTTACCTTCCCACCAAGGTGGTACCTATTTATCTACTCGCATTTACATGCTTTCGAACTGCTAGGTCGGCAGGAGCTGGGACAAGCGACGGGAGCTCACTCCGTTGCATGGGTTTGATCTTATGACTTGCTTTGTCTTCTGACCCTGCAGCACAGAGGCTTCTGCGGTTTAACCCACAGCACCACCAGAATAGGCTAAAAGTCATCCTGAACATACTCAATGGTAATTCTCAAAATGTACTGCAAAAAGTCTAACTGCCTTTCTGCTAATCACAGCTAGGCTGATTGAAAATTACTACAAAAGGGAAAAGTTGCTATCTATATTTCAATGGATACACCGTTTAGTAAGGATTTAAGGTATAACACATGGCAGAAAATCTCAGTGGTTAGGTACAAATGCATTTTATGTAGTTTAGTGTAATTTCACTTCATATGCCAGAAATATCAGGGGCGAGATTAATACCCTCCAGTAAAGCATAAAATATATATGTTTAAATATATTCTGGACAGTTTTTTCTTGTTTTCTTGTAGAATTAGGAATTCATTATAACCGGGACCTCACTTTTCTGTTTGTTCATATCCACATGGTTTTTGTATTCCCAGTTGGTTAACTTGGTTTTGATAAAGAAAAAAAAAGAACTTAAATTATCAACTGAAAATGAAGAGTGGAGCAAAGCTGTGAATACCACTGTAAATGTGTGCATTTTAGTAACAGCAAAACCCATGTATCTATCATGTCTGAAACATTTTCTAGGGCTTTTAAGGTTAAGCTTGTTTGGGTCCAAAAACAGTCCCATTAAGCATTAATCTACAGCATGGTACAAAATACACTATTAAACTGATATGTGATTAATAGAAAGATACAAAGATGTTCCCTGCCCAAAGTAACAGTGGTGAGAATTTTGACTTTGCGTTTAAGATGAAAACTGACAGACAATTTTATTTAAATAATCATATCAATTAACAGTGGAAACATGTCCACATTTTAAATTCTGAATTGAGCTTTTCTAGCATATCACTTGTCACGAAAAGGTGCAGCACGGTCTCTAACTCAAAGTCTCAATGGAACCAGATAAGCCTATTTTAAATGTATTCACTTCTACCTGGTAAATTCCTTTCAATACAGATTAATCTGCAATATGATGATGGGATTTTAAGGCAATCAAGTAGAGGCAATTTACTTGGCTTCAGTACGTTCAGGGGTATTAGAATTATCATTGGGTCAGTAAATAAGAGTCTTGTAACACATTCAATGAGCTGGCGAGAGAGCCAGAGTAAACCAGAGTATCAGGGGCTGAGAGTTCAGTTCTCCCACTCTGCCTCCCTGGAGAAAGTGCCAAACCATTTCTGAGTACTTAGTACTAGAAAATCGAGAGAAGGGCTGCCAGAAGATTGAATCGATTTGGCAGCACATAGCTATAATTAGTGCCTTAAATAAAAATACAATTCTTATGACACAATCTCTTGAGGATTATAGCTTTTACAAAATGATTAAAGTATTACACAGAATTTCAGGTATATGACTTGATCAGGGATCTTACCTTGGGTGTTTGATTGAGGATTTTCCTGAGTGAGCTGGTTGAAAATGGCTTCTGAAGCCAGCATGCCACTTTTCATGGCAGTGTGTGTCCCTTTAATCTTAGGAACGTTGATGAAACCTGGGCTGCAGCCAATAAGGGCCCCACCAGGAAAGGTGAGTTTGGGGATAGACTGAAAAAAAAAAAGGAAGGAATCGATGTTAAGACTTTTACAACCATTCATTACCAAGGAATAATTATTGGTTAGGGATGAAACTTTCAGGGTGTGGGGGGAAATGTTCATGCATGTAATTTAGCAGGACACCCCCCACTCCAGCCCTTATTATATATGAGACTGGGAGCTTTCAAATTGGCAGGAGGTACAGCAGCCCTTTTACCTCCAAGCCCTTTTACCTCCTTCACCATTTCTTCACAGCTCTGAAAGACAGTGCACCTTTGCAAGTTGCAAAAATTCCCTGCAACTCCCAAGGGTACACAGAAAAACAAGTCCAATCTCCACAGGGACTTGGAGACAGCCCCCATAGGGACTCGCTTCCTCGTGCACCCTTGGGAGTTTCAGGGAATCCTTGTGACTCACGTAGGTACAGTGGAGCACCTTTCAGAGGTGCAACAAAATGGTGAAGAAACTGCATGGGGCGTCTAACTCCAGCTGTTTGATGGCTCAACCAGGGGGAGGTGTCCTGCCGAATTATGGGACTGGGAGCTCTTATTTCCCCAAAAGCCCCATCCTTATTGTTGATTTCAGACATGAAGGGCTATACATTTACAAATCGATAAATGCTCAGTTTCTAAATGTTATAAAATGGGGTGGAGTTGCAATGCTCCTAGTGATGGACACGAATCATAGTTTGGCACAGCGCCTGCAGAGATGTTTTGTGGGTGCCATGCATTCCGCTCTCCTGCCTCTGCACACTCACCCATTCGCCAGCTGAAGCATGCTTCCCTCCCTGCCTCCTCAGCATGAATACCCATTCACCAGTCACAGTGTGCACTTTTCTCCTCTGCCTCCTCCGGTGGCCACCCACTCTGATGAGGAGTGTCAGGGAAGCCTGCAGCATTGCCTTTGAGTAGGCTGCCACCAAAAGAGGCAGAGGAGGGAACCCTACTTCAGCTGGGGAATGGGCAAAAGCACAGAGGAGGCAGGAAAGGGAGTGTGCAGCGCTGACGAAAAACCTGTACATACAGGTGCTGTGCCGAACTGAGGTTCATGCCCATCTCTTTTTAAAATTTTTATTAACATCCATAGTATTTTAAGCTCATTATTAATTGCAATTAATTAAATACTTACACAGTATTTCAGTAGATTGTCTTTCTTTATACATCCACTAGTTCATATTTTAACATACTTCTTTTTAAAATATCACATGCCAACGATTCAAATTACTTCCCATATCACATTCTTCTTTTCTTGAGCTAATTCCATGTTAATAATGGTTGTCAGGTTTTCATAAATTTATCCTCTTTTATTTCCCCTCTATATATTTCAATTTGATAAATGCTACAGGTACACCTTTTCCATCAGGAACCATTTGCCAGATTCTGTTTTCAAATTTTTGTATTGGAAGATCTTGAGCATTTCTCCAGTTTTGTGCAATTTCAACGCTTGCTGCACCAATAAGATGTGTAATTAGGTCTTTATTGAATATTTTTCTTTCAACGCTTGCTGCACCAATAAGATGTGCAATCAGGTCTTTATTGAATATTTTTTTTCATTTCCATCCTTAAATATTGAAAATAATAATAAAGCTATATTTTAAATTATTTTTTGATTTACCAGTGTTTCTATCCATTTAATTGTTTCCTGCCAATATGCTTCCACTTTGGGGCAAGAGATCCATATGTGTTCTAGTGTGCCTTTACTTCCACAGTTTCTCCAGCACCTATCTGAGACTTCATTAATTTTGTGTAATTTTCTGGGCTACCAATAGATGAGTTTCTCCAGCACCTATCTGAGATTTCTTCATTAATTTTGTGCAATTTTGTGGGCTACCAATACATCTGTGTACTTACCTTCAAAACTATTTCTTTGGCTTTGACTGATATTAATTTATATGGATATGTAGTCCATATTTCCATCCATTCTTTCTCTTATATTTATATTCAAATTAGTTTCCTATGTTATTTTAGATCCCATACCCAATGGGATCATGCCAATCTCTAAACGCCCCCACTGCAACATTTATGTTGAGTGACATGGAATGAGAAATTTTCCATTGTTTAATTTTTCCATGGAAATGTTTTTTGTCTTTTAAAAAAAGCTATTATTTTATGCATTTCATTAATAACTATGGGTGGACTTCAAACTGCATCAGTGCAAAAGTGATTTTACAGGCAATGACAGTGAAAATGGAGGTGCTCCACTGAAGACAGCTGAAGGTCACTGTTGGCAGAAGATAAATGAATGACCACAACCTGATACACACTGTTCCCTGGTATGGTAAAATGAATATGCCAGTAATTGTTAGCATGTTAAAATTAGTGTGCCAACGTTTTCCCCCTTACATTTAACAAATGATGTATGGGAAGCAAGTACAGGCTGTTATAAAAAGTTAAAAACAAGTGTTCAATTGTAACTTCCACATAAAGCTTTGAAAATTGTCTCAAAATCACATGAATTCTGCTTTGTTCTTTTTCTTATCAAGTATCTCCATTAAAATATTAATAGGGTGTTGACACATTAAAAGTTTTGTTACCTAATGTAACACATCAGATTTACTCTATTTAGAGCATCTGACAATTTTCCCATTACAATTCTTCTGGAAAACAGCATCGCTGATGTCTCCTCATTATTTGTTTATTGTGATGTTCCTGAAGCAGATCCCTCATGTACTGTTTTTCAGATATCCTGTAACTGACAATTTATAATCATGTCTTACCGAACTAAGAATCTCTTCTTCCATTCTTCCAGCACTCATTGACCATTTAACATTCATATCCACTCATCCCTTCATTTCTATATCTATTGTCCCTGGGGATTATAATTCGGCCCATAGGAAAACCTTAAACGTGGACTATTTGGTTTTAAGACAAAATCAGATGCTCAAAATTGTTCATGCAGTGTACAGCTGTAACTACGGTGGAGCAACTGGAGCTTTGACACAGGGCAGCAAAATTTAGAGGGAAACCTCTAGAGGTGAATCTACCAGTGAGTGTTCAGAAGACAAATGGCAACACCTTCTGGCCCTGTTCACTTTTCCATTTTTAAAAATGTAAACTTTCTCTTCTGGCAGGATACCACATTCTGCTCCTCCTTTTTCATGGTGGGGGCTGCACTCATGCTTCAGAGCATATATATATTAGAAGGGCATGAACTATAACACTTATTCTACAATAAACAAAGCTTGGATTGTTAAAAAGAAAGAAAGAAAACACACAACTAGTCTTACATCCCTTTCCCCTACTACATATCAAGCAGACATTCCCTTTTGAGTCCAAGGAGGAAGACAGTTCGCAGTACGACACAGGATTGTGCCACTCAAAAGTCCATAAGTACATCCAAGCAATTTGGACCAGAAATACTGATCTTTACACCCACAACAATACACACTAATCACCCATCTACAGGAAAAGACAAAAGCCTATCTCACAGCCATTAGTACTGCACTCCCAAGCCAACTACACCAGAGCACAGGTTGCTGTCCTCTGAAGAGAGGCTGGCAAAATGTTAGGAAGAACTACCTTCAGAACACGGCCAAAGAGCCCAAAAAACCCAGAACAACCTTTACAGAAATTATTTTATTTATATATTTTGCTTCTATACTGACTTTTCTGCAGTTCAACTTACATATTTCGGAAGTCACAACAAGAAAGGAAAAGTAAGAAAGTTACAGGTACTGAGGGTGGGATTGATGTCCAGTTTTATTTGTGTAGTCTTCTGTAATCTTGTCTCTAAACAATTACAAAAAACTTTGCACTCTTCTCATCTCCCAGCAGATGTATTTCTAAATTTAATTCTACGTATGCTGTATGGAAAACCAAGCTAACTGTTTGGGTGGATGTATGTAGAGTTATCCTGCAAACTATGGCTCCCACATACATCTTGTGGATCTTATCTAGAGATGGGCCTGCAGCATGGCGTCTTCTAGGACTGTTTGAAATCTATCATATTTTAAATTTCAAAGGACAAGGTGAGACAAGGTTTAACTACCACACTATAGTATGGCTGTAGGGTTTAACAGATTGATTGATTGGTTTGATTAAATCATCTACAAATGTGTCCCATATTAATTGAGCGTAAGATTTTAAAAATTGGTACTAAAAAGCACTTTACAAAATCCAGATGTGCCAAGCACATTCTCAAAAGAGGCCTTTCCTGCTGCATGAGAGAAGTGGGTATGTCTCTTCTATAATGGGGGCTACTATGACAAAGTTGTGTATCATCTAGAAACGAATACCTTTAAAATGCACAAATGTACAACTAAAAGCATGCTTGATCAACTTAGATTTCTCTGATTAGGTAATAACCCTCAGTTTTATAAAACATGGAAATCAAAGCAACCAGCCATGCATTACTGTTACCTGGAAACCACCTTCATTAAGAGCTCGGGCACCATAAGCAATCCTTTTCCCACCTTCTAAAGTAGGCTGCACACAGGAATGGTGCTTCCACCTCTGAAATTCCTTAAATGGGTTCAAGTATGGGTTTTGATAATCCAAACCAACCTATAAAATATGAAAGGTAAATAGAGTATTAAAACAAACCAAATAAGAATAAAACCTGTTGCCACAGTGATAACAGATCTATCTATTCCACATCTATCTATTCCACAAAATAGAACAGAAAAACAACAGAAAAAATAGAAAAAAACAGAAAATAGAAGTATTTTTTCTATAAAATAGAAAAACACAGATCTATTCCACAAAAACTTTGAAAATATCCAGCGCCCTGTCTCTCACAAGCAATGTTCTTAGCTATCCCTACTCTTACTCTCAGTTTCTCTCTCTCATATTTTCTTCCCTTGAAGAAATTTTAAACACATAAAAGAATTCACAATTAAAAACTGATATAATGCAATTTTGCCTCTTCCATCCTGTTCTGACACACCATTACTCCCCTCCAAAAAAAAGAGAGATGAGAAAGCAACACTGTGGGAACAATCAACTTCAACCATTAGGGTAGACCAACAAACAAAGCTTTCCACATATTGGTATCAAATTTAACCCATGAACAATTAAGATAGCAATTTAAAACAGCTTTCTCTTTGAAAATTAATCTTAGTTGAATTTGGGTCTCTGCTACAGGCCAAAGCATATTATGGCTATAATCCCGTTGTTTAGACTAGAGTGGACAGGTAGCCCAGATAGGCGGGGGATAAATCAAATCAAATCAATAAATCAATAAATCAATAAACAAACAAACAAACAAATAAACTTGAATTTATTGTACGGTCAAAGACCCAAAAATACAAGGATAAAAACATTACATAAAATATACAAAATAAGTTAGATATTAAAAGATAGCAGGAATATGAAACTTGAATCATGCATCTATCTTAACACAACACTTTACGGATTCTTAAAACTGAGAATAAAAACTTAGCCACTGACTGTAATATTAAATAAATAAATTAGACTAAGAAAGTTTACAAGTTTCAATCCATTCCTAACCAGATTCTTGGGGGGGGGGGGGGAACGTACATGCATGCACCCCCGAGACTCATGGGCAGGAACTCGTTATTTGCCAGTTAGGGACGGACTGAAAGTCATTGATTTGCTTGTGCTAAGCAATGAGATTTCAGCACAGGGTAGTGTCATGCTTCACTTTTCCAACACACACATCTTTCTGATTGTTATTTATTTCCAAACTTAATAACGAAGAGGAAAAAGTGTAAAAGCAAAGTTGCACTGAAATACAAAACACTCACCACAAACCCAAGAGCTATTAGTGGTTCACCCTCATTCAGATGATAAAGAAACGATCCTCCATATGTATGTCTGTCCAAAGGCCAGCCAACTGTATGTTCCACTCTTCCTGGTTTCCATTTCTTTTCATCAATAAGCCAGAGCTAAAATAGAGAAAACTTATTTAATGAAGTTCAGCCAAACCATCATTAGATATAATACCCAGGTAAGAATAATACTTGCAGTTTGCCAGACTATGGAATTAGCCTTTTTGCTTAATTCTAAGTTGTTAGACAGAGGATTTTAATGTGGGAAACTTTGAAAGAAAGAACATGGTAAAATTATAATCAGTAAGAATGAATATATAAGCTGCCAAGTTGTATTATAGGGTTGTCCTTACATATGGAATGTTATCTGCATAAGAAACACATGTTTTGTGAACTACTACTGGGCACTACTATCTATGCCCATTTGTAGCATACTAATGGTCTAACTGTGGGTTTGCTAAATCTGAAGTGGAGAAAAAAAATCTCATATCACACCAATGCATTTGACAGCTTCTAAGAACTATGTAGTCTTGAAGAGCAAGTAAGCCAGATGTCATTTTCCGATTTACCATACAAATTGTGACAAAATGTGTAGCATTTTAATATCCTATATTTAAAGCCAAATTTTCAATCTGATTCACATATGTGCTTAAATTAAAACTGACAATACTACTTCATAAGTCTAAACATCAATACAAATTATGCAGCAACTTTCTTAAGATGATCTAAAAGAGTAGCACCATCACCCTAAGTAAGAAGAACCAGTTGATACAGCCAATATGGTTTTGGACTATGGTTCTCGCCCTCATTCTACTAGGGAAGGCATTCCATAGTAAAGGCACTGAGCAAAGGATGAAGCCTAAAGTCAGCCTTTGAAGCACTTGAAAAAATCTTTTAAAGTTGGCTGTGCCCTGATTCTCCCTTTAGAGATACAAAGTCAAGTGTCTTAAGACTAAATATTCATCAGAAAGAGAAACACTATTTCACTTCAACATTGTTTCACAGCCAAAACTATTTAATAATTAAAATCTAGAGTTTAAACTTCCCAAAACAGAGCTGATATAAACAGTGAATGCAATGACCAAAACTGGACATCGTGAATTTCTCCAAGAAATTATTTCCAAACTTATGCTGAAAGGAGTTGGCAACAGAAATCTAGTAACAATAAATGTTCAAGCTGCTATGCTATGGCTCATGATGCCATTTTGTCTGGCCAATTGACTTCAGCCCGTGCTCTCATGTATGAGGGGGCATCTGTCTGTCTGTGTGACTATGCGTGCATGAGGCAGGCAGGAGGTGTGTGCATGTGTGCAGGCAAGAGCCTATGTGTGCATGTGGGCGTCCGTGCATGCATGCGGGGGGCAGCGGCCATGTGTGTGCATGCATGCACGTAGGCTGCTGCGCATATATGCACACACATTCCTGTTCCTTTGGCCCTCAAAAACTTTGAAAATATCCGGTGAGGCCGTCATTGTAAAAAGCTTGGAGACCCCTGCTCTAGAGTCTAAGCAACATTGTCAAGCAAACCTGGTAATATAAATAGCTTCTCTCCCAGTTTCCATGCTGAAAAAGTTTAAAAGCACACACACAGACATCAAGTGCAATATAAACCAAATCTTTGGCAGCAACTAGCACACTTGTATTATGTAATTCACACTGCATGCAGAATCCTTTTAATTATGGTGGGACATAACCATTGAACAAGTAGAGTACTCTGTCATTCTCAAATGATCTCTGGCTATAGTTACACAAGGCAGCGATCACTTCACTGGATCCAATGCGGTTTACGCATCCACAAGGAGGTTGTGAATATCCCTTGTGCAAATGGCGTATTCCTGCAACTGCATGTTCAAAGAGGCAGTTACACAAGCAGAAAAAAAGTGACAAGAACACAACCAGGAAGCCCAGAATTCTAAACAATAAAACAACTCTACCTCTTTAAGTCCAATGCCGTAAGTCTGGGGCTGGCAATTCTCCCTTAGATTGTATCTGTCATATAACTGCTTTGCAAGATGTCCATGGCAGCCTTCTGCAAACACTGTGATTTTGGCATGCAGTTCCAAGCCTCTTTCAAATGTAGACTGCAAGAGAGGATAATATGTCATCATCCAGCACACAAATAATATAAATGTTAACGTAATGTTTGTTTTCCAAATCCTACTGCAATAGAACATTAACAACTGGGACATGTCTTCATTGTGTCTTGGTGCAGAGAAGCCTTAAAACAATACAGACGTATTTTGGGACACAAGAGAGGAGAGCAGTAGTAATTTCACTCGCTGTGCTGCAGCTCACTGATGCTGTATGCAGCATGTAAACTTGCCAAGTGGATGCTAACAGCTGATAGTGCTTAATACACTGATGTGGCAGGTGCAGACATGCATCTCCGAACAACCGGGGGGCATGAAATAGTCACAGCAGAACCAACTTGAGGCATCTCCCCTTTGCACTTCTGATATACAAACACTACAATAAATGTAGGAAGCAGTGGCCCTTTGAAACATCTTGAATATGAACCTCCTTTTTCAGGTTTTATTATTCATCAATTTCTTCAGTTGATCTACTAAAATTACTTTTTAAAACATCACAGAAAATAGGGATTTTTTTCTTTATAACCTGATATTGAAAAGGTCTTATTTTGCATTCCCAAACAGTTCTGGAGTCTCTATTTTAACATATTTTAATCTTTCAGAGTTCCTTGTGGCAGGATAACCTGTTGTCATATCCAAACAACCTTCACAGCCCTATTTAAACATGATCTTCCAGCATATAGTTCTTTGTAGTAATGACAAAACAATGCCTGTGGCGATTTTAACTTTGCTCCATACATTTCATGCATGTTGTATTATGCTTCCCTAAACCTCTATCTATAGCTGTAAGACCCAAAGCACCCAAGATATACAAGAGAATTTTCAATATACCTTTTTTAATGAGAAGCTATCAAGCTGAGAACCATGATATGCAAAAAGTAAGCATTTACCTTAGGAGCCCCATCCTTTTGAATGCCAACATCATTTGTGGCAATCCCTTTCACACTGCCATCTTCATGGAACAGAACCTACAAGACACCAAACACATATCCATGTTTATAACTTCAATGTAAATATTTCAATGAGTCTGCCACTCTGTCACTTCATCGCCCAAGCAGCATCTGGTTCCCAGTAAACATGGTTTTCCTCACTATATCATCATGGAACACCCTAGTTTTAAATGAAAATTCTGAAAAGTGCAATTAAATGCAACAAGATACACACATCTTGCTTGTGAGCACTCCAAAAACCAGTTGGTTGACTAATGTAAGAAAAAGGATGTTGGGCTAAAAGATAGGCAGAGTTCTCGTGCTTCTGTACAAGTGCGCAAACAAGGCAAGTCAGCCATTCTCAACCTTTTTTTGGCCATGGCCAAGAACACAATATGAAAGAAATATAGGCTGAATCAGGATTGTATAAGCAGCAATATGGACCTTAGAAGGTGGTGTGTGGATATTTATTTCCAGTCTATGGCCCCCTTCAAATGTGTCAGGGAGCCCAGAAAGATATGGACCCCATTGGGAATGACTGCCATAAATCACAAAGCTTGGAACACAGCTGGGAAAAACAAACATGTTTTGTGCCTTATTGCCCCATCCACCAAGTCAACCATTATCACTCTCATTACCGTCTGAGCACAAATGGCAATAGTTCTATCATTACCTCAGCTGCTGCATAGCCTGGGTAAACTTCAACACCGAGTGCTTCTGCTTGTTCACCCAACCAGCTCACAAAGTGCCCTAGACGAACTATGTAATTCCCATGATTAGACATCGGAAGGCCTATTAAAAAACAAAGAAAGTACATCAGTTAATGTCACCAAGTAACATAACACCACTCTGATTCAAAGTGTCTAATCACCACCTGCAGATGCACAATGAACTCGCTTTATGACTCAAATCAGCAGCATTTAACCAACTCTGAGAATCAGTTTACGAACCTTCCACAAAATAAATACCTTACTAGTCTGCCGTGACATAAATCTGCTATTATGACCATTTGGTTGGCTGTTGACTTGTTTCTAGGGACAATTCAAAGGGCTTGTTATGACCTATAAAGTTATATTTGAATTGGGCCATGGCTATCTGAAAGACTATACTCTCCCACTAACACCCTCCCTGGACTTTGAATTCTTCAGAGGCGGCCTTCCCCCCCCCAGCCCCACCCCAATCCTGCCACTTTCTAATACATAGCCGGTGGCAATTTCAGAGACTGCTTTCTCAGTGGCTGCTTCCTTGGTAAAGAAACCCCTTCCAAGGGAGATAAGCTCCTTGTTATCCTGCTGCTAGCAGGTAAATGCATTCATATTCAGGCAGGCTCTGGACACCTGACTAATTATTTTTAGGTACTTTCTTTTTCCTTACTATAATATTTTTAAATTCTATTCCTGAAAAACTGCTTAATATTTAAATTCCTCTGTGCTTAAATTACATTTGTCTAATCTTGTTGCAGCCTCCATTGAACCCTACACTTGGGCAGGAAAGGCATGAAAGATATCCAGGAAATGAATAAATAAGCACACATACCCTTATGTTACATGAGTGGGTGGAAGCAACCAGAGGGATCCCTTTCTAGTAACTAGGAGGAAATTTTCAGCTATCACAAAAGACTGGTAGTTTACATAATGGTTTATGAAACTGCTTTGTTATCGAGGCACTACAGTTTTCTCAACTAAAAGAAGACTTTTAAGTGTGTGACCTCTCAATTCAAAACCAGAGGTTCCCAGTAGAAGTTTTTTCATCAAAAATTGTACCTGGAAGAATAGGAACTGGGATTCTAGAATTCTTTGTTAATATTCCAAACTTGTCTTCTGTTACAGGGGTATGTAGTGGAGCCTTAAGAGAAAAAAGTTAAAGCTTTTGTTAAGAAACTTTGAACTTCCTTTTCAAAATCTTTTAGAGCTGTGACTATTGCAGATTCATACCGAACAGATGCAAATATTTATTATTTGTAAGAGATGATTTCATCATAGGCATCCTTCAGGCTTGAGAGACTATGGTAACATGCTCTGTATGGAGGACTGATGCTGTATGCGAAGCTGGAGTGTCCTCTCCAGAGCACGAAGCCTGGGTAAAATAATATGGAGGATCAGCTGTTACCCAAGCAGCAAATCCCACCTCTCCACATTACTGAAATAGTCCAATGGAAGGGCAAGAGCCAATAGAACTGGTTTCAGTGGCGTCACAGGAGTTGCCGGAACAACACGAACTGCCTCCGGGACTCCGGCTCTAGATTTTGCCTTGAGGTTTACTCCTGAAGCCTTTTCCATCAGTGGATATAGCCACAAGGCAGTGGAGGTTTGAAATCGAAGTTTTCCTTCTCCTAGATAGGCTGCCTTCCAAGGCTGATGAGCCCCACCCACCCGGGACAGAACTTGAGTGTCTAGCTATAATGGGAAAATGTGGCTTGTCCACATAGGATAAGGCACATTTTAACTTAACTGTTAGAGCAGTAGGACAATAGAACCCATGACCTCAAGAGGAGGTGGTGAGTACTCCAACACTGGAGGCCTTCAAGAAAAAACTGGACCACCTTCTGTCAGATCCACTTTGATTTGGATTCTTACCTTGAGTTGGGGGTTGGATTCGATGGCCTTAGAGGCCCTTTCCAACTCCATTACTTCCAGTACTTTGTAAGTAACTTTTTATAATTACCACCGACTTGTATTAGTTTTCCACCTAGCTGCTAAAGCATATCTATATGACATCAGCTGAAGTTGTAACTTAATCAAAACTAATGCCATGCCTTCTGTTTCCGAGCTGCAACTTGGAAAAATGTTATTCCTGTGATTACAGGCCTGGTCACAAGCAAAACCAGAATTTTCTTTCCCTCTGTGATGATAGACAAAACAGCCCAACAGCAGCCCATGCATTTATGATCCACAGGACAAGACTTTTATTTCACTCTTGCAAGCAGCCTGGTTGGGCTTAAGAGTGTGAGAGACATTTAAATAACTATTGACATACTGCTGAAGACATAATGAGAGGTGTCACATGACCTCTGAGGTCACAAGATTGCTGGAGCAACTGTGCTCTAAGTTCTTGACAGTTGGTCTTTGCCCACTTGCTGCTTTCCTGCCTCAACAGCCATTGGGAGCAGAGTGAGTTAGAGAGACCTTGGCTTTTCAAAATTACATTTACCTTTTATCCGGGCTTAACCATGGACTTTTCCAGTTATTCAGGTTCATAGTTCGCAGAGATGTACTCTGTATCAACAGACAGGATTGCTTCCTGTTTTGTCTATAGCTCTGTAAACTATATTAAGGCCTGGGTAGTGTAGGTTTAAGGTGGTGAGGTCTGGCAGGGCAGCTGATGTGGTACTTTTGAGAAGTTGCTGTTTTTTAATGGAGATAAATGGGTTTGTTAGGGAGCAGCCAGATGTAAGCTGGATTTCAATAACAGACTTCCCACACAGATAGGAAAGAGTAGCATTTATGGGGATCCTTTTCTGGGTGCCCGCTTTCTGATGGAGCCGTGGGTGTAGTTGTTGGAAATGAAACAGAAATGAATTTCTGAAACATTTGCCCACTCTGCATGATTTATCTGTGTATTTCATCCCTAGCATTCATTAGACTGTATTCGGTTATTCTTCCTTGGTAACCATAATTAGAAAAAATGTTTTTGTTTATTTCGTTCAGAAATGAACAACAGACCTCTTCACATATTGTTTCCGAGTCTGAAGGGTTCCAAAGATTATTGTGTCTGAAATATTTACCCATTTAATGTGTTAATATGCCAGGATCTATTGACTTGTTCAGCTTAATAGTTCTCTTTCTGGGTTGATTTCTCTTGTATTTATTTCCATATTCATAGTATTAATTACTTGCTCAAAAAATTTAAAGAGATAGTGGTTTATAAATGTTAATACATATCACATAACTATCTTCTAGGTAAAACAACATATCTTATGGTTAGGCACTGGCCAGGTAAGGGATCAAAACTCAATTTAGATTTATTTATTTATTTACTACCTTCCCTTCTCATACAGGCCAAGACCCTGACCAGGTAAGAGATCAAAACTAATTTTGGTTTATTTCGTCCTTTTTAACTGCCTTACCTCCTTATTCAGGTAAAGACACTGAGAAGGTAAGAGATCAAACTAATTTTTGTTTATTTTTTCCATTTTCACAACATTAACGAATTCAAACTAGAAATAAATTATTAAAGTTACGGAGCATTTGAAAAAGCGCTCTCTTTTGCTTTCCTTATCTCCCAGATTGAGGGACCGTCACAAAAATCTGGATGAACACAATCTGGAAGAGAAGGACATGATGGAATAGACATGCATACTAAAGAATTTAATAGCAATAAGTCTTTTTTAATCCAAGTATTATGGATTTTCCACAGCTTGTTATTGTTCCAGGGTACTTCCCGCTTTGGTATTCAAGTAAAATTTGTATTATTGGTCTAGTTGTTACCTTAGAAGCCATTACCATATTTTGTAACTATTACTAAGCTGCAGATCACTCAAAAACTAAAGATAAAGTTGAAGGACAGCAATTATGTTCTCTTACCCCTCGCTCTTTCCAGTCTGGGAAAAGTTCTTCTAAGGCACGTGGCTCAAGGCAAGCCCCAGAAAGTGTATGTGCACCAAGCTGAGCGGCTTTCTCCACCAAGCACACACGGATTTCTTTGCCATGTTCACCAGCCAGTTGCTTGAGTCGAATAGCTGCGGCCAGTCCTGCAGGGCCTCCTCCAACTATAACAACATCAGCTTCTTCTGCAAATCTTTCCATGTTCACCCCTTTAACAGAGACACATAAGAACACCAGTGCAGGTGAGGCCATTGTTCAGGTCAATAGACCATCCCTTCCTGAAGACTGAGCAGCCTGGCCTTGCAAAATAATGTGCTGAACCAAAACAAGACAAATAGGCACTGGAACTCGTAAGCATATTTTAAACTTCAAGGCTATTAATGAGTGATTAAATAATCATTTACCTAACACTCAGATTAGCAAAAATGCCATGCTCGCTAGCTGAGCAATGGTGCTAAATGTATGCAGTCTACCCAGAATCTTACACAGAAAAAAAAAGAAACTCAACCATTGAATCATCCACTAGTAATTGTTATTGATTGAGAAAATACACCCTTTTTAAATATACAATTGTATTATACAAGTTGCCACCAGGATCCAGGACACTGGATAAGGTAACAGCTTTAGGGTTTCTAGGATTCATAAATAAAGCATCCACACTGTAGAAACAACCCAGATTCAGCCACATAGTGGCACAAATACGGATAGTGCTTGTGCACATTTGTTCAACTATAAGCAAAAAGATATTTTCTTATTTCATTTCTTTTTAGAATATGAATCATGTGGCAACACTAAAGTCTCCAAATACCCATAATGTTTGAAGTAATGAGCTAATACAAAATCAATTGCTACCTGCAACTATGAAGACATATTTGCAAGGCTCTTACCTGCAAACATAACTAGCCCATCTGCTCACTTCTCTGTGTCCCAGAAAGAAAAAATGCACCATATTTCTGTCTGCCTATCCGCCGGCAACTCTTAGTCACCACAGGTGACCAGCCAAGGGGCTATTTACAAACATGGTTACTGTATTCTACTAATGGACTGCATTTGCTTGTTGCTTACCTTCCCATCGTTGGTCTTTTTCCCGGGGGTGAATGGAATAGTGGGTAGTAATACGAGGCACAGCGGAAGAGGAAGCCCATCGTGCTGCACTAAAAGGCAGAAGACAGACTTTTCTTGGTGGCTTCAAGACACACAGACAACGATGTGCTGTTCCAAAGAAGAGCATTTTTATTGTAGTGCTGCACTTTTAACAACAAAAGCACAAATATTCTACTACTGTACTACAGAATCCTGAATTATTGTTCCTAGCTTGACCCTTACCAGTTTACTTTTATATACGTCGTGTATCTTGAAAAAGATAGAATACAACTTAACGCAGCCATATTTAGAGAGTGATATACCTTACATTTGTCCCTACATCAAGTTCTGGTTAGTTTAGATCTTTACAACTTTGCTGGCTAGTTGCATGCATTTTCTTCATAAATCCTTCGGAACATTTTCTCTCTAGGAAATATCTGGCAATATATCACCATAACATATAACTTCCCCTTGTGGAAGAAAGGGGGAAAGGAAGGAAAAGGGAAGAGAAGCTAAAACAGAAGGTCTCCAGTAACTGGCAAGTCAGTCCCGGCTTCGCTCCTTCCAAGTTGGTTCCTGTATTTTGCAAGAGAGCCTGTTGTGTCCTTTGCACTTAAAATTGTATCATGATCACCGCTTTGGCAGGCTCAGGACCATGGGAGCCTCCCTTCCACCAAAGGACTGATCCCTGCCCAAACAAACTAGGTTTTATAAGATTCCATAAACCACTCACCTTTGCCCTAATTTTACTTCCAGCCAGCAGGGGGAGAGGAAAGAGCCTGGAAGAAGGAACTTACAACTGGGGAGTTTTCCAGAAACAAACATGCAACTCACGCTAAACTCCCACCTCCCCAAGAGTGCCAACAAAATTGTTTCAATCGCTCATTCAGCACTCCTCCTCCTCCCCATGACCTCTGTTTGCAAGCACTAAGGTCACATCTCTCTTCCTTTCTGTACAAGATGTTATTTTAAAGCCAAACCTAGACAAACATTTGTCTATGAGCCGTAGAGTTGACTTCATGGCACACACACATGTACACTTTTTTATCTCCTCCTCTTCTCCTTTCTACTCCAGTCAAAAACATACATCACCACAACTACATGACTGAAGCCACTGACATCTGGCAAGTGATAACTACATCTTCTCTTCCAAGCAAGTGCTGAATATAGCCAGTTCCAAGTAAAAGAAAAATCATATCATGCTTATGAAAACGGAATCCTTAAGAGAACAGAAAATGCACTTCTTCTCTGCTTCCCAATATACACAACTGGGTAAAGAAGAAACTGTAGTGCAGGAGGGAATGATAGCAGACCGTTCCCCTTTCTGCTTTCCACTCTGTTTTCCTTCCTACAGAGTTAATGGACATTTACTATGATCATGTACAGTACCTTAATATTGCCCAAGAACAGCAACATTTACACCACACCGATGATCAGCCTGGGCAGGAACCTAAGCCTTTTAAAAAAAACCACAGATCGTTCACTCCCTTTCAGGCTGACCTACCTCACAAGGTTGTTGACTGGATAAATAGGGGAGGAGGGCAACCATGCACGCCCCTTTGAGCTCACAGGAGGAAAAGCAGGATAGAATGTAACAAAAACATCGCCATTATTAGATTCCTTGAGTCTCTTCCCCCGTTCCCCCCCCCCCCAATAAAAGACTCGCAGTGGCCTAACTACTAAAATATGGGCAGGCTGGCAGCCAGCAAGCTCTTTAAACTCCATCCGCTCAAAATAAACCAGGTATGTAAACTTCACTGGCGGACAGCGAATTTTCGATTTTTTTTCTACTTGGCCCACACACCTGTCTAAAAAACAGATTTTAATGGCTCTTTACCTTGACGGGAAACCTGGCAGGCAGGGAAAAGCATGGCAAAGAGGTTTTAAGAAATCCCGGACAACTCAGTGCCCTGGGGATGATCCCCCTTCTCTTACTTCCTCACTTCTCCGAAGGGGCTTTCTTGAGTTCTCACGTGCATCTGTGCCCTGTCTTCGCAGCCCCCCTAGAAAGTCACAGGTCAGATTCCATCATCCTCCACGTCCAAGGAAGGAGCAGCAGCAGCAAACTGAACTCGCCCACAAACGTCGGGCGGAGAGCCCACACTGGCAATCAGTGTTCGGAAATGCGAGAGCTTCTCGGCGGGGCGATCTCTTGGGAGGAAAAAAATTCCCAGCAAGCCCAGCAGGAGAAACTCCGCCATAGTCGTCACGCACAGAGTGGCGAAGGGCATGCTGGGAAGCGTAGTTTTGCAGCTGCATTTCTGACTTAAATTCCCACTACTGTATTTTTCCGCCTTTACCACCGTGGGAAGGCTAAGACGTAGAGCTACGCCACTCTTTCGCCATTAGAAAGCTACGGAATGGGAATGGAAAACATGGAGTGGCCGAAGGAATGGCAACGGAACGGCGGTTGAGAATACTCCAAGGTCCCAGGCTGCGCCCCGCTCTACATGTTGGTAGCTCTAACTGGATTTAGTCTGAGATGACCTTTTGGGGGCGGGACTAAGAGCCTCCTTCTTTGTAGGCGGGCCTCCACTTCTGCTCTATCATTGGGCGTATGTCGGCTACTTGTTTTTTGTGGGGAGGGGGCGCGGCAGTCTCGTCCCTTTGGCCTTTTGAGTGACGAGGGCTATCCTGTATTGTTGGCTGGCGGGCGAGTCCTTTAACATTCAGCGCATTTTGTTGTCTTTCTCCCAAAAGGGAGTTACAAAATTTTCCAGAGAGCAGTCAAGGAGTCTGACAAATCTTGACAGCATCTTAAAAAGCAGAGACATCACCTTGCCAACAAAAGTCAGAATAGTCAAAGCTATGGTTTTTCCTGTTGTGATGTATGGAAGTGAGAGCTGGACCATAAAGAAAGCAGACCGCCGAAGAATTTTGATGCCTTTGAATTTTGGTGCTGGAGGAGGCTCTTGAGAGTCCCCTGGACTGCAAGGAGAACAAACCTATCAATTCTAAAGGAAATCAACCCAGAGTGCTCACTGGAAGGACAGATCCTGAAGCTGAGGCTCCAATACTTTGGCCATCTCATGAGAAGAAAAGACTCCTTGGAAAAAACCTTGATGTTGGGGAAGTGTGACGGCAAGAGGAGAAGGGGATGACCGAGGATGAGATGGCTGGACAGTGTCTGCAAAACAACCAACATTAATTTGACACAACTCTGGGAGGCAGTGGAAGACAGGAGGGCCTGGCGTGCTCTGGTCCATGGGGTCACGAAGAGTCGGACACGACTAAACGACTAAACACAGTCAAGGAGTCCAGGCAGTCAGTCAGTAGGCCTGTCAAGGCACCAAAGGGCAAGCCGGCCCATCTTCCCTTCTCCTACTCCCGTTTTTGTTAACGTCGCCAGAAAAAAAAGAATACAAGATTCAATATATAGTAAGTCTTCAACACCATTGTGGAGAAATATCCCCCCGTGTTGTATTTCACGTGGGTGCGTTTTCATATAGAGATATACGTATACAGTGAGTAGGGTATCCAGGGGATGGGTTCCGAACACCCTCTCGCGGATGCTCGCAAATGCGGCAACCCTAAACGCGGAAACATATAATGTACATTGCGTGCTTTCTAGTGGCCAGTTCTGATAACTACACCCTAGAACTACATATAAGTAGGTACAGTATTTCTAGGTTTCTTTAATGTTTTTAGCCAACAAACAAGTGAATTGACAAGATACTGATCCTGCAGATAAGGCGATCCTCCTGTATTCCAACCAGGAGAACAAATGTCACAAATCTGACATCAGAAATGAATTGGCAAGATGTAAGAGCTGATTTCACAACCTTCCAGGACATTCCTGCAGATCTCAGACTAGCTTTTGTGGAGGAAAGGAATTGCAAAGGGAAATGTGAGGTACAAACGGCTGCAAAGCATATACAGTATGTGCAAACGTCAATGGAATTGGTATTCCAACCAGGAGAACAAATGTCACAAATCTGACATCAGAAATGAATTGGCAAGATGTAAGAGCTGATTTCACAACCTTCCAGGACATTCCTGCAGATCTCAGACTAGCTTTTGTGGAGGAAAGGAATTGCAAAGGGAAATGTGAGGTACAAACGGCTGCAAAGCATATACAGTATGTGCAAACGTCAATGGAATTGGAAAAAAATTAAGTTCTCAAGTCAAGCCCCCACTGTACAAACAGTATGTGCGAAGGTCAATGAAATTGAAAAAAAAATTACATAAGGGCCAGGGATTATAGGACTGAAATCTTATTGCTTAGCAGCTAGAGTAGGCTTGTTGAATCATTGTGGATTCACCGGGCCTTCAGCCTATACAAGTTTTATCTAGGCTTGGGTATAGCAATATCTGAAAAGCTCTTTTCCTTGTTATAATCTCAACACAATTTATTGAAAATACATATCCATGCTTCAGAGACACCATTATGCCAACAGCCAAGCTGATTATGCTACTTTTAGCAGGATATCTATGTAATCAATACTATGAATGTGCTTATAATGTTGTTGCCAGTTGGGAAGTTCATTGCTACTGTAATGGCTAACTAGACACCATTATGCCAACAGCCAAGCTGATTATGCTACTTTTAGCAGGATATCTATGTAATCAATACTATGGATGTGTTTATAATGTTGTCAGTTGGGAAGTTCATTGCTACTGTAACAGCTAACCCTGTTTTCCATCTCACTTGGTTTCTACCCTACTACCATGTAATCAGTGTATTTAAACCGATGAGCCACCTGTTGTGTTCCATGTGTCTGAAGGAAGAGAATAATAATCAACAAAAATATGCAATGAGATATGTCTGTTAGTCTTTAAGGCACCACATTATTTTTGTCTTTATTTTTATTTCATTTTTGTTACAGATATATAGGTATAGCCTTGCTTTAGTTGCAGGGAAGAGATCAAACTAAGGTGTGTCTTTAACAGAGGTTGTACTGTGTATTGGTAAATGTCTGTTTTGACAGTTAATGTTCATTAAGTACCAGACCAACGTTTATGAGATCTGTTTTAGGATGTGACTACACTGCAGTTTGATTTGCAGTCTGCATTATGTTTGAAATCGCAATCACTGCTCACACTGTTGAGATTCTCAGATTTACTGGAACTGGGTCTAAAGTAGAAGGATGGGATACAAGGAAAGGTCAGACACCAAACCACATCCTGTTTCGCCAGTTTGCAGGGAGTCTGAGTTGCCTTCATTAGCCCCCTGCCAAGACCTGTCTTTTCCCGAGTCCATATTCTGCTCACTGGGTTCATATTGTCTATAGCTTGCGACTGGTGCTGGGTCTTCCAAATAGTCACCAGCCAACTAACTCCCTTTAAGGTGGGCTTTTATTGTCAGATACAGGTTTTCAGGCCCCCAAGTCCTTCCAGCGTCATAAGTTCTCCTTCTGACACTTCCTTGTCCAGCTGTTGAGTTGGGGCCAAGTTATCTAGCTGGACTTTGGAGTTTACAAGGGGACCAGGGTTGATGATAGGCTGAAGGTCTACATGCCTCCTTTTCACCCCCAACCATAAGCACTCCAACCTTGACCCATATCACAGTTTCCAGATTCTCAACAGTCAGCATATCTGCCTCGGAATACAAAATATTGGATCCAGCTCCATTGTTGACTTGCCGCAGTCCTTTGTCTCTAGTTCTGTAGAGGAGATGAGTCTGCCTCCTCCTTTAAATTAGACATCTTCCAACTAGGTCTGCCTCCTTAATTAAAGTGTGACTTTGGGTCTCTTCCTCTCATGGAGCCTCCATCTCTTTGTGTCCACATGGCACTAGGCCACCAGGCTTTCCAATGGGTTCCCTAGGGCACCTAGGGCATCCCTCTTGTGAGTTAACTGGGGTGAAGTATGTCAGAGAAACTGGCTGTTGGTACAGTAGAATGCCAGTATATATACCATTTTAAGTAGTAATTCAAAACCAGTACTAAGCAAAATAAAATTACTGTACACTATAATAATTGTAATTTCAATAATTATACAGTGGATTGGCCTATGGATTCAAAAAGGAGTAGTGTTGCTTGCATTTTTACTGAAATCAGTCCAACTGAATTCAGTGGGACTTATTCTAGATAGTATTTTCACACCAAGCTGAAAATAGGTAAGCAGAACATACTCTGTAGAAAAAGGTAAAAATGTATAACTGTTATATGCCTTCCTGCGTTAGAAGAGGATTGAAATATATTAATCTACTCGTATCTTTTCTAATATATTTAGATAGCCCTGCTTTGAAAGTTCCTGTAATGTTTAATGAATTTCAAAATATTAACTTTTGCATTAGTTAGAATAAGATAAATCAATATCTATAAAACATCACATTGTTGATTTTTCATAATTAAAACAGTTATTACATGGTCATTCCTCAAACTGTCCTTTTATTTACAAACACAATGATATCTGTAAGTATTAATGGAAACTAGAGGTAAAATATTTATTTATAGTGAAGTTCAGGACATTCCAGAATGGAAGTATTCAGCATCTTTTCTTACAGACTTTAAGAAGTCCAGCCAAACACATATAAAATCTTTTGCAACAAAAGACCATTGCCACACCTGTCTTTGTATTCATTTTACAAAACCGAAGTCATTAAAAAGTACTCTTTTCTTATATAAAAATGCTATTCTTCAAGGATGAGGACTTTTTAAGCTATGTAAAATAGAACAGTGCAGTTCTTTTTACAAATATTCATCAATCCAAGTCATATCAGCTTTTTATTGGCATTTAACAGTGCAAACCTGGACTTCTCGTACTCCTGGATTAGTGAATATAGAATTGCAGTATTAGAAGAAATCTGCCTAGGCTTAGGTGAAAGATGAAATCCATAAACTTTTTCAGTATATATACTTTAATGATCTAGTTGCAATACAGCTCTTTAGATTACCACTTTTATTTCTTTTGCCTTTAGATCAGTCGTTCATAGATATACCCCTCAACCAGTAATCACCAGCATAAGTAGAATAAATAAATAAATAAAAACAAATATATGGAGACTATTTGCCGAATATAGTCCAACTGTTGTATGTTAAGGTGCCTTAGTACTTGTCATTTTTGAGACAACAGATGAATGTGCTCTTTCTGTGGAAATTGCTACAGCACAACTAATACTTTCTTTCGGCTCTTTTTCAACCAGTCCACCAACCTCTTCTGGATATTTCCTCAAAAGTTCCTAATCACATTTATTGTGTTAGTGACCTGTCTTTTATTTTACTCAGCCCAGGACTTATGGGATCTGGTCTTCCATCGTTGTAAATGCAGCATCTTCAGGATAACAAGATGAATGTGCAATTTTCAATGAATGTGTCTTGTTTTGAACCATCTTCATGTGTACCAATTTAGTCTTTCTGAGTGTGTGTGCTTTGATCTCTCACAGGAATCTGCGTAATAGGTAGGTTTTGCCAACTCAGCTGAAGTCTCTTCTGTAGGCCACATTTCAACCCGAATAAATGATGGACCATACATTTTCTGGCTTATTTTACTTGCTGAGGATCTTTGTTGCTGGTAATTGTGCCATATTTGATTAATCATTTCTTTAAAGGGTCTGGTAGTCAATGTATAGAGAAGAGGGTTCAATGCACTGTTGATTGGTAATATAAAAATCACAACCCAGGACGTTATGGAACCTAAAGGAAACAACACAATATTGATATAAAAGGAAGAAATAATATTGACTTAGCAGAATCTCTGTACTTGTAACAAGTAATATATTTGCTTTAATTATGGGTTTTTACTTTATCTGTTGGCATGGGTTTCTGCAAGCCCTCAAGTCCTACCAGCATTTCTGTTAGAACAGAAAGGCAGGATTCTACTTTAGAAGCGGGAATAGCTATTTCATTGATACCCTAAAATGCATCGAGATATCATCTTCATCTGACTGAGTACTCAGAAGTTAAATGCTGAAGCACTGAAGACAGCACATAACACCTGAGAAACAAAAGGAAGATACTGTCTTGAGGAACACAAGGTTTGTAAATCTATAAAAACAACCCAAAAAAGAGCCATTCCAGAAACAGGTTCTGCAGAAACAGCATGTTTCTGTAACCATGGAATGTGAGTGTCTATTGGAAAAGAGACAGAAAATTGGGAAGAGGGTAATGGAATGATTTTCTTGGGCTCCTAACAGCTTGTAATACAGTGTCAAACTAGAACTCTGAACAGGAGGACTTATGGTTGGTAGAGAATATACTGAAGAATCTTCATGTGGAACCTCATCTTTCCAGAATGCAGAGGAAATCAGTATTACCTGGAATTTCTACTTGAAGCAAAGAAAGCAGTTTTAGGATAAATATGGGTATCCAGCATAGTGCATCAGTTAATACAATGAAGAAAAAACGTTTGGCAAGGGTCATCTCTTTCTTCACATGATTCTGGATTTCCACTGCTGTGATGGTGGTTTGATGAACACTATAAAACATACTTCCATAAGAGAATACTATGATGATAAATGCTACCAAGTTAACACCTGTTAATAAAAGATAAGATGAGCTTCAGTGCCATTTAGGGTCTTGGGTACAACACATACCTAAAATGCTATGATTCTAGCAGGTGCGGAATACTAAGTAAAATATTTGGAATGAAAATCTAAATAGTTCTATGCACTTATTTGTGTACCACAATAAAAAACCCTATAGTCTAGGCTAAAAGTGTTCCATTAAGTAAATGTAGAATTAGAAACAACATGCTACGGAACAGAAATTTGTATGAATTTGTCGTATAATCCAGTTCTGGCACGAAAAACAAATTTTAACACTGATCTGCTCCTTTGTCACCCCATATTGATGTAAGCAACTTAATCTAGAAGATTAATTATTGTTACTATTTAATGCACTGAGAATTGGAACCTTTGCTGATCCACTGCAAAGCACCTTTGTTTGATCTAACATAAATCACCTTGAGATATGCTAATAGATCCTGTTCTATCTTTTGTTCCCTTCTAAAATACATTCTGAGATAAACTAAGAAGAACATGGAATTTGCTTACCTAGAAAAATGATGACAGAATAAATCTGACCTCCAGTACTTTCGGACTGCTCGGAATGAAGGGGAAAACATACCCCATTAGTACCATAGTAATTGTGGAAAAAATTCTTATTGCTCAGTGGAATAAAAGCAACTACAAACCCTATAGACCAGATGAGAACCAAAATGGAAATTGTCCTGTATTTTCCTGGCTTCAAGAATCTAAAGGGATAAACTATGCAGATGTATTTTTCCAAAGTCAGGTAGGTTAATAATAAAACTGATACTTCGGTGGATAAAATGGCCAAAGATCCCACCAGCTGGCACTGGATACTGTCCATCCATAACTGAGCATGCTTATTGTATTCTCCACGATATTTCATGTCAAAGGCACCAATCACAAATAAGTATATACCCATGAGACAATCAGCACCTGTGGAGAAAATGTACGTTACTGTACCATATTGCTATTTCTTGTAATCCAATTAACATTTGTAACATTGCTTATGGAACAACCAAAAACAAAGCTGAGGAGATTGGTGGGTGCTGTGGATGTGCCACTTCACTGGCAAAAGAGATTGTACCAAAAAGACAGGATTTCCACCAGGAAGATCTACTGATACATCAGTGCAAAGCTCTACCGATGTAGATATACCGTGGTCAAGCAGGACCTGAAATTGGACATGCTGGGATATTTGTTGGGATGGCCTGGGATCTGGAGAATCCAAAGCCACCTTGTTCTCTCAACATGCCCACATTTCAGGCCTCCTGAACTACAACAGTACTGAAATAGTTATCATTCCTAAAGTTAGTATTAATGTATTATGCACATGCTACCTTATTGCATCTAATATTTTAGTGGGTTCAGTTCATAAGAGAGGGGAAACATTATTTTTTCAGATGTAACTTCCCAATATATGATAGCCAGGATGGCCAGCAGGCTTACAGTTTGAAGCACAGGTTTCCCAATCTGTTTGGGGCCTGATAAGGAGTACATGTTTTATGCTTTGTTTATGCTGTTTTGTTGATTTTGCTGGGGTGTTTTAAAAATATATTATTATACTTTCCTTATTGTCTCTGTGTGTATTTGTTTAATTTTTGTTAATTGCTCAAAGTAGTGCCTCGTGGTATAAAAGTGGAATTAATGGATGGATGGCTTTCCTAAACTGTACCAAGTTCAGAATCCTTTTAAAAATGTTTTGAAAACAGCATACTCACAACAGAGGGACATTATTGAAAGAGCGTGGAGTTTGTTCTCCGATCGAATGTAAGGTCGCATACATATGACAAAGATGTTTCCAAAGCATGTGACAGCAGACACAACCCAAACAAACACTCTCTGTATAATGCTGGCCAGCAGATTCTCAAAGGATGAGATTCCATCTGTATTTGGTTTGCAGCTGCGTACATGAGGAGCATATCCACAATACTGAAACTTCTTAAAATATCTAAGGGGGAAAAAGAAAAATGGACAGCTTTTAATAGCATAATGATGAACATGGAACTGTAATTGAGAGAAAATTATCACAGAACTAGTCAGATAATACCCTACAATGTTTTTAGTTTAGCTTTAGTGGACAGGCCTGAATCCACTTGCTAGGCCCAACTAGAGGATTCACTGAATCAAAGTAATTTTACATTTAAGATTCTCTAAACATTCAGCATTTGATTCAATGGGTTTGCTCTAGTTGGGAACAGCAATTGGATTTTAGCCGTAGCTTATATTAATGTAGATGGCTGGATCACTCACTGAGTTGAAGCACCTGGCTGGGGTCAGGAGTTCTAATCCCCATATTGCTTCCTTGGAGAAAAGGCAACCTGTGTGGCTGTGAACAAACTACACTGTCCGAGACTGCTTCCCAAAGAAAGGAGTAGTAAACCACTTCTGAGCATTTTATACCTAGTGTTACGTTCACCCGTGCCCCTGTTTTTTTCTCCCTAAACCAAGGGTTCACGCTGGTGACATTCCCTCTCTCTTTCGCTGCCACCAGTGGATTTCTTTATCCATCCTGTAAAGCAGTGGCCCCCAACCTTGGGCTACAATTCCCAGAAGCCACCTCTGCTGGCCAGGATTTCTGGGAGTTGAAGTCCAAGAACATCTGGAGGCCCAAAGTTGGGGACCACTACTGTAAAGGACTTTAGTTGGACACTGGCTGCCAACAACAGGACTTGTCTATTGAAGGGTTTTAGGGTAATTCAGAATCACAGCTGTCCTTTATTCATTTCATAGAATCACAATCATTGAAATCTCATATATTCTGCCACACATTCGATCACCTCCTTTTTTTTATTCACATTAACCAGTTCACATTAACCAGTTCTGCCACACATTCGATCACCTCCTGTTTTTTTATTCACATTGACCAGTTCACATTAACCAGTTTACAGTCGTACCCCACTGGACAATTACCCCGCTCTACGACGAATCTGCACTACGTCGAACGATTACCCCGCTCTACGATGAATCTGCACTACATCGACATTTTTGCAATCGCAAAACAGTGTTTTAAATGGGGGAATTTCGCTTCACGTCGATCGGTTCCCTGTTTCAGGAACTGATTTTTTGCTTTACGACAATCAGCAAACAGCTGATCACTGGCTTTCAAAATGGCCGCCAGCTTTCAAAATGGCCCCCTGCTATTTTCTAGGATGGATTCCTCGCTATACAGGCACCGAAAATGGTCGCCATATGGAGGATCTTCGCTGGACAAGCAGGTATTCAGCCCATTGGAAAGCATTAACCAGGTTTTAATGCGTTTCAATTGTTTTTTTATTTCGTTTGATGATGTTTTCGCTCTACAGTGATTTCGCTGGAATGAATTAACATCGTCAAGCGAGGCAGCACTGTATCTTTGTTAGTTACAGTTCTCAGGCTTTCTCTGACTCTCTCTCTCCAAACTTCTCTCTCTCTCTCTCCCTCCCCCCCTCTCTAGCTGCCTTAACTGACTCTCTGCCTCTGCCTCTCTTGTCCTCTCATAGGCTTATGCAAATGAGCTCCTGGTATGAGTGACAGGCATCCGTCACACCTAGAAAACCCTGAGTCAGAAGCGACTTGATGGCATGTAATTATCTTATGCAAATGAGCTCCTGGTATGAGTGATGCATCCGTCACACCTAGAAAACCCTGATAAGGGCCACCTTAAGTCAGAAGCGACTTGATAGCATGTAATTATTAATGTCACTGTGCATAAAAACTAGTGGCATTTTAAGTACAGCATTTTATACCTTGATGCAGAAATGAGCATTATCCAGTGCCGCAATTTCAACAGCAGTTTGCTTAAGGAATACAAATAATCCTTTTCGATACAGTGATATGTAAGTCATGCATAATGTATATACCTTGATGCAGAAATGAGCATTATCCAATGCCGCAGTTTCAACAGCAGTTTGCTTAAGGAATAAAAATAATCCTCCTTTTCGATACAGTGATATGTAAGTCCATGCATAAAGTACTATGGAATAGGAAGTGTCAAAAGACTCTGTGTGGTTCAATTTGCTGACGCTGAACAGGTTTGTACAACTCTGGTCCTGAGTTTGCATAGATAAGCTCCCAGCAGAAGCTGCTAATGGTACGTGGGAAGCTGGCTCATTCTGCGGCAGACCCATGATCTGTCAACAGTATCATCTACACTGATGCAACTACTACGTACAATTTTTCACCTAAGGATTAATCCAAGTTGTTTCCATTTTTAGCATACAATACAAACAACAACAACAAAAACCAGAAACAGAAGGGAAAGAGGAGGTAACATGTTGGCAAATGGATGGCCAGCAGTGAGGAAGAGGAGGAAGGCAGGGTGCCATGCAAGAATAAAAAACCCAGTGGCAACTGTGCAGCTGCTGCTGCTGCTTCAACCAAGCCGCACACTTACGTTGGTCAGCATACTTTCTGCCAACACTGCAATCAGGCTGTGTGGCTGCAAAGAAGTGGAAGGAAACAGGAGGTATTGGGGGCAGGTGAACTAAGTGAAAAAAGGCGAGGGATTTTAATTTAAGCCCCCCCTTTTTAAAAAAAAATAATCAACTCCCTGCCATTGAGAACAAATGAAAACAAAATAAACCTTGCTTTTGGGAGGGGAGAAATAGCTTGACAGATTCTGTCCTGAAAATACCAAATCAAAACTTACATCATTAGGACAGTGGAAAAAAAAACCTGACCCCATCAGTGACAAACTGGATGTTTTCAGAGAATAAAGGCTCTGTCTGGAAAAACCCCACAGCAGATCTCCCTGAGCAGGCTGTTCTATCATGAGTCTGCCAGAATCAAGAAGGTCCCGCTTCTCATTATTATGCCATGTACAAATAGTACTTAAATGGGATCTTCCAGATTATTTTACCATCCAGGGAGATGAACTGAGGAAAACAATCCTCAGATAGAGAAATCTAGGGACAAGTACTGCTTCAAAAATCCAATCTTGTTCAACACATCTACAACTGTGATTGTTCCAGCCAAACCAAAGAAAGAATTATTAAAGAGGAGCAAAGCAAGTTTGAAATAAGAAAAAAATCATGCTCACATGCTGAAAGCCTGTCAAAATTACAGGTTGAATGCAGTGAGCTTGACCCCAAAATGTTCTTTGTGGTGATGCATTGTCTTGTCAGCTTGGATCATTACCTGCCTCGCGTTAAAGTTCATTGATGTGGTGTAATGGTGCTTCTTACCTAGTGGTTATGTTTTTAATGTGTCCATAATTGAGATTCTGCTACAATTTAGATTATCCGCACAGAGTACAGTCATTCTCTTATGGTGAATGCAGGTTCAGAACTAGGGATGGCATGTAACGGTCCCCTACATAAAACTTCCCTAATGTTAAAAAACCAAAACAGCTACAACACAACTGGAATTAGCAGGAAGATAGACTAACTTTCTATGAGAAACTTAGAATTTTGGTATATAACCTTGAAAAAGAAGAAGAGCTGCATAGAAGATACTTACATATGGGAAAGCTCTCTAAGTGGTGTAAACATTCTTCTTTGGATGTTTGAAATTTCAAAACCTTCAAGGCTTCTGTTGTATTGGGAGCAATGTTTTAGATATTAATAAGTAGGAAAAAGTTAGGAAGAGGCAACTGAAAAATACACACATAGGAATAATAATATTCTTGCTCTTTCAACATGCTTGTCGTGGATTCAAAATGTATTTTCATGAGCAAGTTGAAGGAAGGGGAAGTGAAATCCACTAAACAAGCGTGAATATTAGGCTGCTTGATCAATTCCTGCTCAAGGCTATAATGTCTCAATACTTCAACTAAAAACATCATCTTATATACAGTATGTCTACTAAAAAAAAAGACCCATTGAGTTGGTTGATGCATGTTTCCTGATAAGTGAACAGACAATTGTTAACCGTAATTGACTTACATATTAAGTGATCACACTTCATTACAGCTGCATTGACTCATACATTTTTAGAGAACAACTTTTTTGATTGAATGTTTAATAATCTTTCAGTATTTGAAATATTCTAACTATGGTAAAATCCCCTCTTTTTTACAGATTTCAACTAGCGATTATCTAGAATATTATTAAATACTTCATTTATATCTTTGGACATAAAGTTCCTGCCATCTCCAGTAAATGATAGTTTCTCCTAAATAAAAGTCATTTTATATTAAAGTAGAATGGTTTATGAAATATTGGAATGCATTCCTTAATGCTGACAAAAGGCTGATTACCAAAAGGACTACACATACTTACAGTGAGTTGAGCTTTACAAGATAATCAAACTGGCCCACTTGTATTTGCTGAATTGGATTGTATGAAAGATCTCTGTAAAAAAAGTAAACAGTGGCTTTAATTTCAATATGATAGCTGTACCCACTGTACTGGATATTATCCTGCTTAATTTATAGCACTTGGATTACTGTAAGTTCTATTTAAAGACTGGCCCAGCTGGCTAGTACCCACTGTACTGGATATTATCCTGCTTCATTTATAGCACTTGGATTAAGTTCTATTTAAAGACTGCCCAGCTGGCTGGATAGTTCAGTGATAGCAGAAAAGCCAACAAAGGGGTGGAGAAGAAGAGGAATAGGAGGAGCTGAGTTACTCCAGATCCAAACTCCTGCAGCCCAGACTCAGAGCCATTATGCTGGCACTAAATTAGGCCAGGGTCACAGTAGGCCTAAATAATTTCTAGGCTGGGACAGGATTGGATTTAGCACAGCCTTGGCTGATTTAGCATCAGCTGAGCCACCCCTCAGCCATCTTGGTAACTGAAGACTGGGTCCTAAGATTGCTGACAATAATTAATAACAGGATCACTTTGGAAATTTATCTCACTGAAGACAGAATAATAAACACCTAAGCAAGACTGTTCTGCACACCCATTTAAAAAATTAATATTTCATATTGTATATAAGAAAACAAGTTTAAAACAATCACTCACACAGAGTAACCAAATAATTACAAAATCTTACAGTTTTGAGAGTTCTTTCAGATCCTTAAACAGGTTTGGAGGAAGCAATTCAATCTGGTTGTTGGCCAAATCTCTATTGGGAACAAAACCAAAACAATAGAACAAATCAAATAAAAGCAAAACAAAATCTGATTCATAACACTATAGATTACTTGTTTTGCATCAGAGTTTCTGCTAGAGATGGGGACAAATAAAAAAATGATGATTCGTTTTGATTCATGATTTGTCAAGGTTAATGACTCTATGAATATGAATATACAAATATTCTTCCCTGAATCAATGAATTGATTTGTCAATTCATCTTCACTTTAAACAGGTATCCAACTGGCCCCTAAGCACCTAGAGATACCAAATTTGCAGGGAAGCTTCCCCAGACGGGTTACTACAACTCCTGAAAGCTTGGTGAACATTGGATAATGGACCCCTGAGTTATATAGTCACAAAGAGGACACCCCCAGGAAAGCTCCCCCCAGGTACTTAGAGAACCCAGAATAACAACGGAGCTTCCTATGTCTTTTCCCAACACACATGCCAACTTGGGTGAAGATTGGATATTGGACATCCGAGTTATTCACTCACAAATTGGGTCCCCCCAGGAGAGTTTACCACACGGCACAGAAGCCCATTCTGCCTATCAGCCTCCAATCAACTGGTCGGAGGCTGATAGGCAGCCACCCCCACAGCCTACCCACCTTCATTAACCTACCTTAGCCCCCCAACATCCTCTTACCTTAATCGCTGCTGCCAAGGTCTCTTTTTTGGCCTCCCAGCCACACATGTAAAAAGGGAGACTGGGTGCCCTTCGCAAAGATGTTGGTTGCAGCTTCATTTAGGTTAGGGAAGCTGCTGCTGCCATCTTTGCAAAGGGCAGCCTGGATTCCCTTAAGGCAGGCTAAGGGAATCCAGGCTACCCTTTGCAAAGATTGCAGCTAAAGTAAGGAGAGGAAGGGAGTGGGGTAGGCTGTGGAGGTGGGTGGCTGCCTGTCAGTGGGCCTCTTTTTATATGAGTGTCTGGGAGGTCAGAAGGAGACCTTGGCAGCAGCAATTAAGGCAAGGGGGTGTCAGTGGGGTGGGGGCTAAAGTAGGGAAAGGAAGGGGGTGTGGGGGTAGGCTGTTGAGGTGGCTGGCTGTGGGATGGGGATGGCTGCCTATCTGCTACCAATCAGCTGATCAGCAGCTGGTAAGCAGAATGGTGTTTTTGTTATTTTTTTAAATAGGAAGGGATGGGTGGGGGAGGGGGAGGGCTAAAGTAGGGAGAGGAAGGGGGTGGAAGGGTAGACTGTGGGGTTGGGTGGCTATGAGTGGTGGTAGCTGCCTATCCCCTACCAACCAGCTGACTGGGAGCCGGCAGGCAGAATGGTTTTGGTTGGTTTTTTTTAGTATGAAAGACGAATAAAAATGGGTAAATATTTCTCCCTTTATATTCGTGGGGGTCTCTGGAACCCATGAATATGAAGGGACGAATATTTAACAAATCGTCTGTTTTCGTCGAAAAAGCCGATCCGTTTTTATATTCATCCCCATCTCTAGTTTCTACCCGAAGAAGCATCTGAATGCCATATTCCTTCTTAAAAATGTAAAATCCATTGCTTTTATGTGACATGTCAGAGAACATGGCAAATGGATTACTGTCAGACTAGAGAGAGACCCACCCCTTTTATGTGCCATAATATCATACTGTGCAAGAGCCAATCTAGACAATACATGAAATACTGTGTGTGATTACATTTTACATTTCTGCCTCTGTCTCTCTCATCAGCCTTCCAACGTTTCTGTTCATTCTTTGGAGAAAAACCTCATTTGTGCCAAAGCAGTTTCCCTCCTGCATAAATCAGCAACCTCTTTGTGTGTCATGGTCCTGGTCTTCATTGTGCCCTCCACCCAATTATTTTTATTTCAGGTTTTTAAAAACCCACAGCTGCATGAACTGTAAGCATTCAGATCACACATTGTCTCATTCCTTCTTGCTAACTGTATGAGAAGCAGCCATGTTGATCAATAAGCAATATCCAAAATCCATGTTAGGTGGTACATGGATGAAGTCAACCCATACCCTCAAAAAAGGGGGAAAAGACCCACAAAATTGTGTACAAACTTTTAAGGGTCACAATGCTACTTTATTGGGCATAGTGTCCCAATCCTTCACCAACCTTGCCTTTTTAAACACTATCTATGATCAAAGGCTCTTATGACCCAGGCAGCTTGCACACAATTTCTCCCCTACCAGAAATGGGGAGTGGTCTATTGAATTCTCCAGAAGAGAGAGTAGGGAGTGGCCTAAGAGAATATGAATCTGGTGCTTATACAACTAGATGACTACATGTAGAAGCAGGCAACCACAAAGGTCAGAATTCTTTTAATTTCTGCTAGGGATAGGCAAAGTGAGGCTTCCACCTCAGGTCAAAGTATATCCCTAGGAGTCTAGGACATCAACTCACCCCCCCCCCCAAATTTTTAAAAAATATTCTCAGAAATTCAATTTTTGAGTCGGGGCAATTTTGCCACATTTAGAGGGCACTTCAGAAGCACTGGAAGTTCCCACACATCTCTCTCTCTCTCTTTTTTAAAGGCAACTAGTTTTTTTCAACTAAACATTTTTTCACTACAAGAATGAGGGGGTGTTTTGTGAGAGCAGGTGTGACCACCCTAAAGTCCCACATGATTGTGTGAATTGTGTGGAAGCTGCTTGCCCCTGACTTTCTAATCTTGTAACATCCCTTGTGTAAGCTCTCTCTCTCTCTCTCTCTCTCTCTCCCTCCCTCCCTCTCTCTCTCTCTCTCTCTCTCACACACACACACACACACACACACACACACAGAGAGAGAGAGAGAGAGAGAGAGAGAGAGAGCGAGAGCAGGTTTCCTTTTGCATACCAAATCCCTCACTGGTTCCAAAATCAAGTGTACAAGTGGTTGTGTGAAGGGAGCCCACAGCAGGAGGGAAACTGCTAGATGGTTGCCCTTGGACACATGCTTTTTCTTGAACTGAATTTTAGCCCATGTGGTTAATTTGCTCTGTGGATGGGAAAATATGCCTACTTACAGTTCTGCTAACTTCAGAAGAGCGGCAAGGCTGTTTTCATGTAGAGACCTGATTCTGTTTTTTCTCAGAACACTGAAAGAATACAAATATATTTTAGTGCATTTTCAGGATTCTGATCCTCTATTTATACTCTTAAGATCTGTCAGGGTATATGGCTCCAGTGATATTGATGGTTATATGGGCTTTCATCCATGGTAGTGCCATATGTAGGCAATTCCCTCCCCAGGAAGTCCAATGCAAGCAAGCTGTTTCAAATAATTTTTTTTTCAGCAAAAATTTTGTTTTACTTACAGTACTGTTAAACTTCTACAAGATATGAAAGTGACGTTTCTTAAACTGTGGATGTTGTTGCCCTCAAGTTCCCTGAAGAAGAAGAGAAAATTATTCTGTGCATTCTTGATAATAAAGGCTTGAATGTTGCCCTATAGCAATGTGAGTGTTGTAGTAATCTTTTGATGTTGTTTCTTTCTGAACAATTGTAGGAGAAAGCACATTTCAACACAATTTAAACTCTGGTTTTTAATGAGAAAGAAAACAGCATGCTTCTTAAATACACGTAATTACTACATTTCATTTTCTTTTCTGTAGAAAATCTTTATGAATAACAATTAAGATGCTTGCAATCCAAATTAGCTCTGATTTTTGTAGAAAAATGTGGACTCACAGCCAGTTTAGCCTTGGCATGTATTGACAAAGATGTTTATCAGGCAGCTCAGCAAGAGAATTATGCATCAAATCTCTGGCAGAAGAAAAAATATTATTAGAGGTAGTAATGATAATATGTTTATCAGAATCACTAGGATTTAACTATCAGCAGCAGTTTTATACAAGATCCCTTTAATTTTTTTTAAAATATACAAACTTTGTATTGAATTGAAAAATTATTTTGAGTGTTAGACATGTGCAGCTTCACAAAATTAATAGGGTTCCTAGAAGCACTGGTGGTGCAAATTTAAGTGAGCTGCTACAGTATTATGGTGCTAAAAGCCCTGGAGTGCATTTAGTGGTTATTCAGTTATACAGCAGTATTGCAAAAACCTAAGCATATCCCATATTATTCGCATTCTGGCTAAAGGGAAGATTAGAGGAGAGAACAACAGTTAAATTTAGGGGCAGTGAGATGGCTAGCTGCTAACCTCAATGGGTTCTATGGATAACTCTTCTAACATTAAAAAAAAAGGACTGGGATACCATTAACATGTGTGATAATAATGCATAATGCAATGAGTTGGATTGCCAAGCTCAAAAACGTTAACAGTAATCACCTGGCAGTAGGGTCAATAATGATTAAAGAGATGAGCTCCCTTTTCCCAATAACATTCCACGCTCTGGCTTCAGTATCAGACTGACACATACACATTGTTCATCATAGTTCTCGCCTTTATCAATATTACAAAATTCTAATTCATTTTTTTTGTAAATTAATTTCTCAGTACTTACAGGAGAATAAGTGAGCTGAGGCCGTAGAAGTTTAATGGAGTGACACATTTCAATGTATTGTTTTCAATTATTCTGTAAATCAAGTAAAAATAGGTTTCACACTAAAATTACAAATCCAGGAAATTGGCTAGTTTCTCCCAGATCTCTAAACTGTATGAACTGTATGCATTTTTAAAAAAAGGAATACAAACAGGTTGTCATGATACACATTTTAAGAAAGTTGCTACTAACTGTGGAGCCATGCTGCCACTGCCAATATGCTAACTACTAAGTGCCACAGATTCTCCATTAATTATAATTGCTAAATAATGGATCAGCTTTCTTAATCAGAGGTTTATCATGCAAAAGTCAATTCACATAGATGTCTGGATCAAATGATTATTACAACTATGTGGTTTTGGTGGCCCACATAGCAGTGACCACTCTGTACAGTATCTAGCTGTACAACACTAAAAGCTATTTTTACTTCAGGACCATTCACCCAGAAAGGAGAAGCGAGACTGCTGGAATTATCCTTGTGAAAAAGGTGGTGGTGGTGGTAAATAAGCAATGCAAGTTTATTAATGTTACCTGCCAGGTTCTTTTGTTCTTGTTTCAGAATGCTGATTTTAAAAAAATATTCCGGGAGACTCCAAGTACTTTTATTGGAAAACAGGGACGTTCATGTGAAGCATTTGCTTGTCACTTTTAAGAATTTTTTTGGCTAGTCCTTTCTCATTTCACTGACCTTTATTTTGAAGCTGTGATATACTGCAGATCCCATAAGACAATATTTCCTATGGAAAGGCACACTGGAAGAAAATGTGCCTTCAGAATACTGACAGCGGTGTCACTAACATCCCCTATTCTGCTCTTTGCTTCTAACTCACAGCTGCCAGGAAAGCTAAGGGTAACAATGTCAAGATCTCCAGCTTCGAAATCATTTACAAAGAGTATAAAAACAAACCATACTAGAGATAAGGATAGGAAAGGGAAACAATTTCATCCGAACCTATCTCCTGGCAAGACTGCAAATTGGATTAGATCCGTATGTTTAAGGAACAACACCAAGTGAACCTTCTTTCCTGAAAGAATATACTGTATGCTTTCAAAAATGCATATGGCTATATTCCAACAAATTTCCCTGGGTTGTGTTTTTATTTCATGCACGAGAAGTATTATGTTAGGACTTGCAAAGCTTCCTTGTAGTGGGGGTTGTTCCTCTAAGAAATAAAAGGGGCCCCACTGCAAATTTAAGACACCTCCCATACTTTTGACAAAGTACATGCCAACAGATGGAGAAGAAATTACAGTATGTCGGTCACAGCAGGTCCTCTCTTTTAGAGTACAATATATTTACATGGTTCCATTCAGAACTAAGGCCCTTTGTTTCCAACAGGGGCCTCCAACTTGGTGTTCTCCAGATGTGTTGGATCTTTATTCCTATTATGTTAAGCCTTATTTAAGATTCATATGATTTTTCTTCTCCCACCCCCATCTTTTAGTCTCCAGACTTTAGAAAAGAGACGTTCTAGAGGCATAGTGCTCACCCAGATTTGGTTATCTCTCCGAGGAGGACACTGGTATTTGCAATATCACCATATATTTACAAATCCATAGGTTATGCAAAGATGAAGGCACAGTGTATTAAGCACCCAACAGGCAGCCCAAATACAGCAGAGTCAGGAGGAGAGAGGAAGAGGACAGAGCCCAAACACAAATTTGCAAGTTCTTCTCTGGGACCCTTAAGAAACTACCAACTGTACCTCTGATTGCATTCAACTTTACTGTCCACAAATGTGTATTTCTCTCCAGTGAATCTTCAAATATTTTGGGCACAGTGCCAGAAATTACATTGTCAAACTAATGTCTTGTAATTGATGTTTCCAACTGATTTAAATGTGTTTATTTATATTGTTATAATTTTGGCATGTTTCTATGTGCAAACCACCTGAAGCTGTAGTTCACTAAATTAGGAGTATACAAATTCAGTAAATAAATAAACAAATCTAACAAATGTACAAAGCTAGACAAGAAAAATCTTTCATTTATTCATACTTCTCTTTGTTTGGAGGATTGAAAGTTTAATCAGTGTTGAATGACTCCCAAATTATGCCTAACAGGACTAAATTAATATATGGCATATTTTTAAGAGTGTTAACAAGCAATACATACTATATAAGATTAATTAAAATCTTGTAATTATGAGAATAGAAAAATGAGAATGCTATCCTCATAGCAGCTATTCTAGGAGGCTCAGATTTCATAGTTACATTAACCTAAGAGTAACTATGTTTTAAATTAAAGTAAGCATGTTTATTCAGAGGTAATTCCTTCAAAATCAAATGGCCTCTATTCTCTAGTTGCATTAGCTGGAGAGGGGGATATTATTCTGATACAAAACCAGTACATACAGCCATTCAAGCTTATGCAGATCTTCAAAGACACGGGGTTTCAAAAAGGTGATCTTGTTGTGACTCAGATATCTGAAATAAGATTTAAAAAGAAATGTAACAGTTAACATTACCAAAATGACATTGAGCTTTCTCATTTCATTTTTTCCCTTTTTCCTTGGTTTTTGGTATTTCATCTTTCTACCAAGTTTTCTGACATCTATGATAAAACTGAGTTTATTGCATGCCTACATTTGTTGGCATGGATCACACTAGTTTTGTAAACATTCTTGCCAATATTTTGTTCAATATTAAAGCATATAGAGACCCAAGTGCTGTGATCTGACAAACATTCAGTCACCTGACTGATCATGTAACCTAACCACACTACTGCAGCACATTTTGGAGATGGAGTTTCATGCATGTAAATGTTGAACAAGATACTGGCCTTTATCTATCAATGATACCATGAGTTATCAGTTGACACCCTCCTGTTGCAGATTAATTTGTGATTCTGAAACTTTTATTAAGGAAGGACAGGTGGAACTTTATGAATGTGACAGTGAAGTCCATAATGTTACTGTTTAAAATTATTCAGAATGTGAGGGCATTGATTGTGTAAACAAAGAACTACAGAAGAGATACTTACAATTTTGTCAGATTGTACAGCCCTCTAAAAGCCTGGCCTGACACAATGCTTATGTTGTTATTTTGGAGATACCTGTTAAGATAACAAAAGTTGATAATCATAGGATATTTAGAATTAAAACTGCCTTGTCACATGCCCTTTAAAAAGGTAAAGGTTCCCCTTGACATTTAGTCCAGGCATGGCCAACTCTAGGGCATGGTGCTCATCCCCATCTCTTAAAAAGGATTAATGAAACACATCAGGAGGGGGGCATGCTAGCTTTGGTTTTTCTCACATGAGTGTCTGAAGAAGAAACCTTCTATACATTGGAGTACTCCACATGAAACTGAACTTGATAAAATTCAAGTTCTGGCTCTCATAAGTGTCCTCCATGCGTAGAAGAATCTTGCCTTTTTAGACTTGTCACTTTTCACAATAAGAAACTAATGACCACATGAGAAATACTGTTTGAAATTCTGTTGCTTTGTGTGGCAGTTGCAACTAGAGTAGGCCCTTTTGAATCAATGGAATTTATGTAGGAGATGACTCACTAAATCCCCATTGATTCAATTGGTCTACTCTAGTGCAACTTACTGTGCTAGACTGTAAAGTGTAAAATCACCCTTAGAGATTATTTTACAAAGCAACAATGCTGCAACAGGTTAATATTTCAGTTTTGATATTGGCGGAGAAATTAGAACCCAAAAGTGACCAGTAGCAGTTTAAAATGATATCTTACAGGTACTTAAGATCCTGGTATTTTTTGAATCCGTTGGCAACAAGTTTTGTTAGACAATTCCCTTGTAGTGATCTGGAATTAAAATTATGACAAAATCATGAGAGTGTGAGTGAGCATGATAATAAATATGAATAGGTAATAACATATATAAATATATGTACAAGTGACTTAACTTTCATTTTAGTGACAGTGAAGTTATACAGTAGATAGGCATATAGTGTCATAGTGAAACAGCAATGCATCTAACGTATTATACATAATATCACCAATGTATCTTGTTTATCTAGAATAGCAGTGCATCAGTCGGGAAATATTTTTAAAAATAAAGCTGTATTGAAAATGAAAATAAGGAGGGGGGGTTCCTGTTATTTACTAGTGTCACAACCCATCTAATTTGTCACAGGGTTGTCACTTCAGATAATATTACCCACAGCTCCACTTGGGTGCGAACTAACCATCTACAGGCTACACAATGGGATAAATGGGAATATGATTAATCATGGCCAAACCCATAGAGACCTTAGCATTGTGCCAGAAAGGAGAGGGAAAGCTCTAAATAGGGCAGATTGGAGCAGTCTTAAGTCAAACATGTGTGGACACCGTGATTTGATCTGACCTAAACTATACCAAAAGTAGAATTTAAATAGCAAGCAATATACCCATATCAAGTTGTCTTGTGTGCTCCCACAGGCATCTGGTGGGGCTACTGTGAGATATAGGAAGCTGGACTAGATGGGCCCTTGACCTGATCCAGCAGGGCTCTTCTTATGTTCTTATGACAGGCTTTCAAGATATTAATTTAGAATTGTGTCCAGGGTTGCATGATCAATTAAGCTGTTTGCTGACATTATCCAGCAGGGCTCTTCTTATGTACTTATGACAGGCTTTCAAGATACTGTATTAATTTAGAATTGTGTCCAGGGCTGCATGATCAACTAAGCTGTTTGCTGACATCAAGCATGATTTAAAATGTAACATTTACCTCCTATTTCCTATAACACCTATTTATACACATTTTAAACCACTACTCCTTTCCCCATTCCAGCAACCCTAAATACAGTAATAACTGCTGATCGTGAATGTATAATGATAGTTGGAATTATACTGAAACCTATCAGCTCTCCAGTCTCTAGAGAGTGTTAATTAACATTAACAGCTTCCTGTAATTAGCCAGTGATTGAAATATAGTTAGCAGTGAAGATCTCCTCTTAATTTTTTTTAGACATTCCCCAGAGTCAGCAGCTCTCGAAATGAAATGTCGCTTTACTTTATCTGCACTTAACTGCCATAAACCCTAGAGGGCCATCCAGTACAGCAAATGTTTTGGTAGAAGAACTCAGTCTGGGATGTACTTAAGCCACCTCTCTCTCACTCATGATGTATGAGGTGATCACTGTCTCATGACTGAAGAAGGTCTACAGTACATTCTGCACTAGGAATCCTAGTTGACAAAAATTAAACTTTATTTCCTGTGAAAGGAAGATACTATATCCAAGATAAACAACTGCATCTTAAGTCCATGGTGACACCAGAAACAAAAACTCCAAGGATATTTTTATTGGCATATTTTCGTATGAAGGAAGTTGCAAAGCCCATTTTCATTCAAATGTCTTTTCTTACCTTTCCATTTAACTACACTGAAGTAAATCCCATTGAATTATTCCTGAGTTAGAATTGCAGGATTATAGTATTGCGTGTTTTATATTTAACACATTTTTCAAGAAATTACTTGGCTTTTCCTCCCAAGGAGTGAAAATGCCCATATTCAATCAAACCTTGTATTCACGTGACTTTGTCTGTGAGCAGATCACATCTAATAATGAAGCTATTAGTATGAATACAAGCACATTAAGAAGAGTCCTGCTAGATTAGACCAAAAGCCTGTGTAATCCAGTAGCATGCTTTTCACAATGACCAACCTCACATGAAGTCCACCAGCATGTTATGAGCCCAGTAATGCACTTGTACATGTGTTTCCCTAGGATCCATGCTTTCTCCAAAGCTATTCAATGATCAGAAAGCAGTCCTCTGTCATCAGGAATTTGATGATCAGGAAATTGACATCAGGCACTTGATGATGTCAGAGGAAAGGGCTTTGCAAGAGTGAGTTCCAGGCACTAATGTCAGCTAGCTACTGGTCTACAACTGGACACAGTTTATTTTCCAGGCTCCCACTTCAAAAGTCATCCAAAATTTCTTCTTTACTTACATCATAGTAATATTTGAAGAGACCAAAGGAACGGTGTGCAAATTGGCATCACTGCAGTCTATCTCTAACCCACGGCACAAACATACTGCTGGCACAGAATCAACCACTGGATAAAGAGAATATTATAGATCAGGCCAATGTCGGAGTGATGGTGTGGAGAAAAGAGAGATATATAATAAAAACACCTCCCTCCATTATTTAGTGCAGTGTTTCTTAACCTTTTTCCGAGTCACAGCCACCTTTTATACTAGCCAAGTAATCTGCAACCCCACCATATTTGCATAAAAAAGGCAGGACTCCCCCTGTTGAATGTGGGACAGAATCAAAGCAACATTCCCCTGGTGGACACTGGATGGCACTGCAGTGGTTCCTTCACCAATGCCAACACTGTCCTGAAGCCCAGGGAGCATGGCAAAAGTTTCCACTCTCCATGAAAAGAAAAAGTGGGAAAGGAGAAGCTAATGGCAGTAGCTCACATGCCAACACCTTAGTCCCCTAGCTAGGAATAAACTGCATTGAACTTGTATTCAATTAAAAATAACTATGGAGACCTCCCAGAAAACATCCTTGGGAACCAGTAATTTAACACAACAGTACAATTACACATTGAAACAGCTTCTACCCGAGTATGGAAAGTTTTCTTTTTGGGGCAGCTACCAGAATGCCCTAGTCAACATGCCTACTAGCCAAGCTGGCTATTGAGTTTTGGGACTTGTAGTGCAACTAAGCAACGTTTCAAACTCTGTCTTATCTCATATATACTCATCGGATTCTTGTGATCCTCCTCAGGGCCGTCCTACAATAGGGCCTCAATCCAGCCCCCATGTGTGGCATATCTATGGAAGAAAACTTCTGCATGTAAGTGTGAAAGTTGTGAACAAACCTGTTCACAGTTTGGCCCTTGGCTACAAATGTAGCATGGACCCTGCAAGGGCAAGAACTGGGGTGGTACCAAAGAACAGGAAAAGATGAAGAAAAGTAGATGAAGTAATGGTTGTTCTGAGTTTTTCGGGCTCTTTGGCCGTGTTCTGAAGGTTGTTCTTCCTGACGTTTCACCAGTCTCTGTGGTCGGCATCTTCAGAGACGGCCAAAGAGCCTGAAAAACCCAGAATAACCATTAGATCTCAGCCGTGAAAGCCTTCGCGGATATATAGATGAAGTAAATTAGTACTCCTGATTTGTTGGGGGAGTATTATTCAATTATATTTTGAGCAAACAAAAGTATATTCTTGACCGAGTTACATTATCTACTGATCGGTTAAGAATGTAACTGAATTTTTATTTAAACTTCTCTAATTTCTACTCTGAATTGAAGCACTAATGGGAACACAATAGTGTGGTGGAACACACTATTTCCAAACCCCTGGGTTCACACTCTTAAATTACAAAACATATCTGTCCCCCATCCATATTGAGAAAAATGACAACAAAAACACTCAGTTTAGGGGGAAATGTGCACAGAAGTATTTCATCCTTTCAGGAAAGATGAGTAAATTTGTTTAAAAAATATTTACTGTAGATCAATATGTTTGGAAAACTGTGCAGAAGAATGGATATACTTTAAAAAATCAACTTAGAAACTTGATATTTTGTGTGTGTTTGGACTTTAGAAACAAATTCACAAATAGACACAGAAAGTGGGTGGAATGAATTCAAATCTTTTGAACTCTTCAGAAATTTAATTGACAGATCTGATCGTTCTTAGTTTTATTTATTGCTGCTGGATCACCACCACTAGAATCAGCATCCTCGATGTAAGTGGTTTTTGGCCATTAAAGACAGATGCACCCATCCCAAGGTGCCTAAAGCCTTCCCTGGGACAAAAGGGAGACCTATAGAGGCCTGGAATCTGAAAGGTGGGGGAGAGAAAACTTTCAATTAACTTAAATTAAAATTTCCCATTGTCATTACACTACATACATTTATGCAACAGCCATTATATTCCAAAGGACTATCCAGTTCCAGGGAAAGATGTAGATGTTTACATAAAGTAAGAGAATGATCAGGTCCTGGAGAAAATGGCTAATGACTACTATGCAATCCAGTTGTGTGGGATTTCCGTTCCCAGAAATCACAGCCAACATGACCAATAGATCTAAATTTCAAAATATGAGGAAGGCAAAGATGCGGACCATAGTTCAATTTTTAAAGCCATACAGTGGTGCCTCGCAAGACAATGTTAATTCATTGCGTGAAAATCGCTGTTTTGCAAAAACATCGTCTTGCGAAATGCGGTTCCCCATTGGAATGCATTGAAATCCGTTTAATCCGTTCCAATGGGGAAAAATTGTCGTCGTTTTGCGAAAATCGCCCATAGAGAAACCATTTTGCGAAGCACGGATCAGCTGTCAAAATCATTGTCTTGTGAAAAATGATCCCTCCAAAAAAGCGTCTTGCAAAGCACGGTCCAAAACATTGTCCAGCAAAAATCTCCCATAGGAAACCCCATTTTGCGAAGCGCTATAGTGATTGCAAAAACTCATTGCCTAGCGAATAAACCGTTTTGCGAGGTCATCGTCTAGTGGGGCACCACTGTATACCCTAACACCTTCCTTTCAAAACGAAAGGATTTTTTTGGTCTCAGCACACTTCATTTTGCTTCACTCTCACAGGATCACATGGAATGGGGGCTCCTTTCAGCATCTGGTGCTTTCTACATCTCTAGTAACACTCCACCACCCGCACCTCTTACGACTTACAGCACTCATCAGTTTCCACTTCAGAGGCATATTGGGACAGCTTTTTGTTGTAAATCACATCCACCTGTTGCGGCCATCCACTGTTATCACCTATTAAAGGGATAGGGAATAAATAGGAAAAGGCTCATTGCTTTGTATTTGCTAAGTCACTTAAGTAGATATCATTGTATATACTCAAAACCAAACAGTTTTTCTGCCTGCTAAGTTCATAGTCTTTAAAAAAAGACACGCGATCCAAATGGCAGGACAAAGAGAGAAAAAGATGTTGGTGTGAAAACTACTTCAAGAACACAGCTGTGTTGCATTTCTGGGTATTCACAGGGACTAAGGAATAAGAAAAATCTGGTTTTCTGGACCAGAGCCACTCTTTCTTTTCTGGATGCTAAAGAGGGATAAAATCTCCCAAGGATGAATAAAGAGGCATTTGCCTGACAAAGAGGCAGAACTTGGGAAAATTACTTCTTTGGACTACCAAAATTTCCCATCCAGGGATTCTGGGAGCTGTTGTTCAAAAAAGTATAAATGTTATAATAAGGAGAGAACCCATGTTGATGAATGCAATACACGATAAACTACTTTTGTGTTTATCATATTTGGGCTCCATTTAATACATTGCATTTTTTTCTTCCTCTACTTTTCAAAAAACATATTCAAATTAGTCATCCGGTCACACACAAAACATACATCAACATCAAATTCCTTGGCTATTGCAAAGCATTCAGTGACATTATCAGGAGATAAAGGATTTCTTCTTCTTCATCAGGGGTGGGAGTTGTGCAGATGGTGGGCCAAGTGCCCCACCAAGGCCCTAACTGCAGGTCATTTGTCATCAGGGCAGATTTATGGCTCAGGCCCATGAGAATGTCTTCCATAGGCATGACTGAAACAAATGGAATGCTGTGCACCCCACCAGCCCCCCCCTCCTGCAGCACCAGTGGTGTCAGGGTCTCCCAACATTAACTCCATGGACTCCAGCTCAACTTTTTGATCCAGAACATTTATTAATGGTACAGCATCCCTTCCCTCTACCTCCTCAGCCCCACCCCACAGTCTTATAGGCTGAATTATAGTCTCCTTAAGCACCACTTCCTATTGTGGACAAATGAGACAAGAAAACCACCATTGCTCCTATACATTTACTTCCCCCACCCATGTTTTGGCAGACAGTTCTTAGGCATGCCACTGATCAGAACAGCAGCATTTTTAAATCCAGTGCCAGCTGTAATCAGAAACACTTGCTGTAGATATCCTGTGCAAATAACTGCATTTGAAGGGCAGCCCTAAGCCATGTATGACATACGTACATGACATACAAGTGGGTCTATTTACATTTGATGTGTGGATTTGCAGTTTGAGAACACACTCACCAAAATCCTGTTAGTATAGTGTTATGTAGTGCAAATGAGATGGATCACTACTGGTGGTTCCAACCCCTATTGTAGTGATCTGGGGGCAATTATTTACTGTTTAAGGCCCAAAGGCTCCTAAAGGCTTCCCCAGGGCAAAAGGGAGCCCCAGAGAAGTTGTGAACCTGAAATAGGGGGACAGGAAGCTTTCAAATAGCTTAAATTAAATACTACCCCTCCTAAATGATGATGTCATCTGGCTTACGTTGTGTAACTTTATGTAAACAAGATTTTGTACACTGTTTAGATCAGAAAGCATTTTTAAAGTGAATAACAAGCATGCTGGGCTTCTGATTTCAGATGATGAGTCATAACTCAGGGAGGGATTACACTGGAAAGCTGATTTGATTCACAGCCTGTACAGTATTACGTTTGATATTGTAGTCAGTGCACACACAGGGGCTGTGGATTGATTTGGGATTTCACTTTTCATACTGGATGCAATGTGATTTGCATTTCAGCCCACTGTCCCGCCTTTTTTCCTTCCTTCCTCTGGTTCCACCTCTGCCAATCTGCCAAAGAACTGAGATGGAAAATAATAATGATGATGACCCAGCGATGAAGTGATAGGGAGATCTAGCACTAATATCCTATATATATAAAATTAACAAAAAATTTAAAAATTCAGAGCATGACCAGGGAAGAGAAAAGAATGTGTGTGTGTGTGTGTGTGTGTGTGTGTGTGTGTGTTTGTGTGTGTGCGTTCGTGCGTTCGTGCGTTCCTCCAGTCCTGAACATCATGGTCCAACTGCCTATGTCACTGAAACACCACCAGCAGAAATGCCCCCCTCATCTTTACAAAAACATACAGCAATGAACTACATGGGGAAAAGCCTATTCAAATTGTTCCATCTTGAAAAAGTAGAAGCCCTGCCCCCCAACTACCAAGAAAACAAACCACATTGGGAGCAAAAAGGGCTGGACCTATTCGAAGCAGTCTTTGTGTCATATGGTCAGTAAAAAAAATACTTTCAATTCACACATTTTATAAGTGGAGCAAATCTTGTGGTATCTGACCATGTAGTTGCAACCTCAGGCAGCGTTGGCTCACCCATAAGGCAAGTGGAAATTAGCGTTTTAAAAAAACAGACTAAAAACAGATGCTAAGCAATTTTGAAAGCAGGGGCCTTACCAAACAGTACAGATCTGACTGCTTGTTAGTAGGGAAATAGAGCCAAGGATAAGAAACACACAACATGACTGCGGGACAGATCTTCAGGTTATCACCACAGTGTCCCTGAAGAATGACCTTTAAATCAGAGGTCCCCAACCCTCAGTCTGTGGCCTGGTGCTGGTCCGTGGCCTGAGCTGGACCGGGCTGCCGAGGCAGACCTCCCGCCCCACCCCCCGCACGTGCTTGTTCGTGCATGTGCAGACACCCCCCGCACGTGCTTGTTCGTGCATGCGCAGAAGCATGGGGGGGGATGTGCCCCACCTTCCCCAGCCAGTCCGCGGATCGAAAAAAGGTTGGGAACCGCTGCTTTAGATCACCCTAGTGATGCTCTATGGATAGTTTAGCCCTTCCTGCTGCAAGTGAAAGTGATTGGGCACCAGGCACCAGTTGCTGCTTATCTAAACCAATAAGACAGAATTCCAGCAAGTCTCTGGCTTATTGTGTTGGATGACTGCAACCTTACGGCTTTGCTGAAGCTGTATCAACAGGTAAAATTACTAAGCTGAGTTTTTGCTTTTTATCAGACAGGCACCAAACTTTATCCTCAGTTGAAAGTCTGGGCACATTGCCCTGAGACAGCAATTTGTATTTTACCCTTTCTTCTTCTTTCTTCTTCTGCTCTGACATGATAAATCAAAGGCAAGAGAATGCACTGTGCCAAAAACAGCTGGATCCTAGCCAAGAAGCAATGTTGCTGAATTGCCATTAATAAAAACAGAATGGCAGCCATGTGCCTAAACATCAAGACATTTCATGAACAGTACAGACCGTTTTGGACCAGATATCAGTTTCCAAAGCTTCTGTTCACACTGGGGAGAATCCCTTGGCCTCTCTGGAGGTGGTCAATTCACAATAGCAACATGGGAACCATGGCTATGGTGTGACCCCAAACAAAAAACACATTGGGAATGAAAGGGATTGCGCCTCTAAAGTTCTAGACATGGTAAATTTAGTATTTCTGTATAGAGCATATTAATAGCACAGTCCCACAGTGGGGTTGTAAATAGGCTAGAGATCTCAGAAGGTGGATCATCTGAAGCAACATAAACATAAGAAGGTTGGTGCTCTTCTTCAATTAGGTTTCGTGCATTCTGTGTGCTTCCCCCTCCATTAATTGGCCATAGGAAGGTAAGTGGGGGCTTAATATGCAATTCTGATTGTTTAAGTATTCCTCTCTACATTGTAGAAAGGAAATGGTTTAATCGCTCAGAATAAACATTCTACTTAATGCCTAGTTTCACCCAGAAAAGTTCCATGTGTGGCCTTTTTCTGCAGTCTGATAGAAGAGAATTATGTGTGAGGCATTTTTCCAAAGGCTCTGTAAGGGAGGAGAAATGATAGATCCCTTGGACCCTAGAGAGCTTTTCCAAGGAGCTTAGGTTTGCACCTTTATTCACGTTGAAATGTTCAGTTCCGTAAGAGTCTTTTTCCTTTGGCAGATACAAATGACATTGCAGTTACATTGCTTTCCTTCTCCCTTCTCAAATACAGGTGTTTTTAAACATTGGCTTGGCACCCATGTTTGTAACGCCAAGTTTTAAATAAAATGTGTTATTTATTTAAAGATTATTGATGACAATATTTTGTCCAGGTCTATTGTGCTGCATTTTTTTGTTAGATACTCTGAAATAAATATTCAGGAAATGGATTTTCCAGTAAAAATTGAGGTTCTAAGACTAGTTCTTGACCACTGAAATTTAATTTCAGGAAAGATCCAACCTTGATAGTATCATCCTCCTGAAATTGATGACATCAGCTCATCAGTTATGGTGTGGGGAATGGTTCAAGTACCCGTAGCTCAAGTAGACTACACTGACATGGCATTGTAGTCTTCAGAATTTACTTTTTGAACAACAACTTCCAGAATGCCAGCCAGGGTGGCCACTAGATTCTAGACCACTAGTTCCAAACGTACCTTTTCCAAGCTCTGAATATTTGACCTGAAGACAAAAGTCTGAATTGTCATGAGACTTTGTAAAAGTACAGTAGTTGTTACACTGAGAAGCAGTAGTAGCTAAGATTCAAGATAAAGGTCATCTTATCCTGCCATTTTGGGGTCTGCTGTCCCCACCTCCCACTGTAGTTATGAGCCCTATGTGTTATAAGGCAATTACTTGGTCTTAAATATTTAAGGTGTTCTGAATAAGGAAAAATGTATAAAAATTACTGGGCCCTCTGTGTTGTTAAATACTGTAATTTGAAATAATTAACTGGAAAAGGCAGCCACTGTAGTGAAGATCAGTTCATGTTCATTTTCTCTTCTAGAAAAAAAACTGCCTATGTTCATAATTTGCCATTCCAGTCACATCAATAAGCATGTGTCAGAAAAATGAGGCTATAAATTTTTATAATAAGGTGCCATTCATAATGCATAGTTTCAATACTTTCTGTACACTACAGAAATAATGGAGACTCTGAAACCTCAGCAATTTTTTTTTAAACCGAAGCATTGATAGTTTCAGATCACCTTCCTTAAGCAGCCTTCCAAATAATTCAAACAGCCATAAGATCATTGCAGTGGAGTATTAGAAATTACCGTATTGTGGGTAAGGTTCAGAGTTCAACATGAAATCCAAACTGTAGCCAACTGTGAGACAGAGGTTTCTCTGTTATGGTTATAGACACAAAATGACTTTCAGGAACAAGCCCAGAGAGGTCAATACTAACTAAGTAATGACCCTGTAGTCTTTTGGAAGTAATCCCTATATAATTTAATGGGATTTGCTTCTGAGTTGACATATATAGGATTGCCTTGTCAATGTCATTTTTAATGCAAATTGATGCCCACTTTTTAAAATCTTAGAATGGTACAGTCAGAAGGGATGCTAAGGGTAAATCTTAGAATGGTACAGTCAGAAGGGATGGATGCTAAGGGTCATCTAGTCCAACCCTGTGTTACTGCAGCAAATCCACAGGTAAAGGTTCCCTAAAAGAAGGCCATCCAACCTCTGTTTGAAAACCTCCAATGGAGAAGAGGCCATCATTTTCCAAGGCACATTTTACTCTCAGAAAGATCTTCCTAATGATTAGCTAAAATCTCTTCTCATGTAATTTGGATCCATCAGTTTAAATCTGATTGTCTGGCGCAGCAGAGAACCAGATGTGGTGACTGCACCATTTTCTAAATCAGAGGCTTTGCACAATACTGTACTAAGTAATATTCCACTATTGACTTGGTGAACTGACCATCATGAGATGTATTTAACTTACCACAGTTATCTTCATCAGCTTGATTTCCACAGTCATCTATCCCATTGCAGTGGAGGAGCTGAGGTAAACACTTCGTGATATTCCCACAAGGGAAATAGCCCAGAGGACACGTGACATGAAATCCAGAATCAGGTGTTCTTGAAGCAGCATGAATAGCTATTTCAAATAAAAACCACGAAGAGGCTGGGTTTATTTAACACAAGGTTTTCAACATTTAGTTATTTGTTGATCAATTGCTAAACTGATTAAACAGACCATCAAATTCCACTTCTGAAAAAAAATGTACTGTATACTGCATCAGTGTTTCCCAGCCTTGGTTCCCCAGGAGTTTTAATCCAAGAACACCTGTGGACCCAAGGTCGAGAACCACTGATGTAGTGTAAATTTTCGCACTACAACCCCCAGAAATCCTGGGCAGAATAGCTAGTGGTAAAGGCTCTTGGGATTTTTCTTCCAAGAACAGCAGGGAACCCATGGTCGATTACTAAGTTCCCATATCAGATTACTAAGTTCCCAATCATTTGGCAGTGATTCTCAGACTGCGGCTGAGCAGTGCAATACCAACTGAATCTTGTAGGCTGCAGGAGGTTAGGATTCAGCACAAATCCCTTCAGCTGCCAGAACTTTTTTCTCCTGCTTAATGTCCAAGATCTGCCAACAGAGCAATTTGCCAGCATAATGGCTCTGCTGACTAAGATCTGTTGGCACAAAAACAGCAACAACAAAAAGAGGAGGGGAAATTGGCAGCCAGCCTTGTTTGCAGCTTGTTTAGGTAGCTCTGCTGTAGTTGTCCTAATTTGCAGGAGGCATGGTTACAGCAGAAGTACCTTAAGAAGCTGTAAACCAGGTTGACTGATAATATCCTCCTCTCTCTCTCTGCTGATTCCTTGCTCTTTCTTTTGTTTGGTCAACTAGCTGCCCCAGCACAATGGCACTAAGCCTTAAAAACACAAACACAAAGGAACGAAAGAGGAAGATAAGGGAAGAGAAAACAAACAAACCCAGGCACCAGGTTTGAGGAAGAAAGGATTAAAATGGTAGCCAGTTTCCCCACTGCCCTGACTCTCTCACAGCTGATGTAGCTGGGTAGAATGGCTTCAAATAGAATAGGTAGAAACATTTCCACATTTGTTCAAGGAATCACACCATCTGAACTGATGTGAATATATTCACTGCAAAAACAACAGAAGCTCTAACAGAGGAGGAAAAAATGTGGGGAAACTCTGGTCTGATTTGCATTGACTTCTATGTCATATACTCAATGGAAAAGAATGGAAACCTGGCCTTCCCAACCCCAGAGTTGCATTATTTGCCAATATAGTTGTCCTCTTAGTGTTACCTCAACCAGCTTTCAGTCAGCTTGCTAGTTAGGATTACATTCCAAGAAATATTTGTATGAAAACTGCCTGCTCTTCTAAGTACATGTCTTTAAGATTGGGCTGTTAGTCACCCACTTGGCTGCACTGCTAGACTTCCATGGTTTGGAATAAGAAAAACTGAGTTACAAAGATAACATGTGCACATACATACAGATATAGATACACACACAAGCACAGTACCTGTGCTTAGAAATTTATTATTAAAAGTAAGGAGTTACCATTGTATTTCTAAGACCCCAGTGTTGTAGCTATCCATGCCTTTAGTGCGCTAGGTTTTCTTAACTATTTTCCTATTTCTCAAAAGCAAATAAAGACTTTTAGTTACTTGTTCCAAAATCTGGATGTTGGAAACTTCTGGTCTATAGAAAATATGCTATCCTTCTGTCCACCTCATTGTCACCTTCAACTTCCACAACAGAGCACAAGAAGGAACATGAACTGATACTTGGAAGAAGTTATATTCCCCTGCCCACATTTAGTGAGGCCACATACTTACAACTGTAAAAATAACTAAAACTTTACACTTACGTATGTGACAAAAGGAGTTAGGTTATCCCTCATTAAGTTACAATCATAGTATAAAGCAGTGGTTCTTAACCTTGGGTTACTCAGGTGTTTTTGAACTGAAACTCCCAGAAGCCCCAGCCCACACAGCTGGTGGTGAAGGCTTCTGGGAGTTGCAGTCCAAAAACACCTGAGTAACCCAAGGTTAAGAACCACTGGTATAAACAATCATAATATAATTTGGCTAATAGGAATAAGGGTTACCCAGTGTGGTGTAGTGCAGGGGTCCCCAACCTTGGGCCTCCAGATGTTCTTAGACTTCAACTCCCTGAAATCCTGGCCAGCAGAGGTGGTGGTGAAGGCTTCTGGGAGTTGCAGTCCAAGAACATCTAGAGGCCCAAGGTTGAGGACCACTGGTGTAGTGGATAGAGTAATGGACTAGGAGACTTGAGTGATTCTCCAGATCTGCCATGAAAACTCATGAAGATGGGAGGAGACTGGTAAAACCACTCCTTCAATACCTCACTTACCTTGAAAATCCTATTAGGGCCACCATAAGTCAATTCTGACTTGACAGCCCATAACAACAACAAAAGGAATCCGGAATGAATTACCAGTAACCAGTTACTTGCAACTGTAAGGAGGTACAGAACTAAATACACTTCTAGGGTTCAGACAATTGGCTGCATAGTTCAGTAAGTTAGGCAGAGACTGGGAGTTCAGTTACCCACTGTGCCTCCTGGGGGAAGAACCAGCCTGTATGGCTTTAGGTAAGCTGTGCAGTCCCGGGATGCCCCCAGAGAAAGTGAATTCTAAGTACTCTCTACATAGAAAATCCTGGGAAGGATTGCCTTAAGTCAGAATTGACTTGATGGCACACAATTATTATGATTATGATTATTATGATTATTATGATTATTATGCTTATGCTTATGCTTATGCTGATGCTGATGCTGATGCTGATGCTGATGCTGCTGCTGCTGCTGCTGCTGCTGATGATGATGATGATTATTATTAAGGTTCAAAATTTTAAGGCAACAATGAGGTCTCTTGCTCGCTGGTCAATTAGAGAGGGGTGGTGATGAAGCGGAAGGAACCTCTTCCCTAAAGTAGGCGTGCAGATTTTATGACCCCCTTATCATGAGAACTGCTACCAGTAAAGAAGCCTGTCAAGTGCTTGACAAGGTTCTTTTTCCTGCTCGTCCAAACAAACCAGGCAGCGGCAGCCGGTGAATTGAATTTCAGAATTACTGGGAATACACTCTGGGTTTTAGTTCTGGACTTTGCAAGAGTTATCTAAGCTGCTCAAAATAGTGCAGCCCAAATCTCAGAGTGGATCAACAACCCTTCGAAACGGGAGTCATCAACTGCCACTGCAACCAGGGTGTATAACCATTCCTGGGTCATCAATTACAACCATTCAGCAGCGTTTTGCTTTCTGGGTCACACTTTGAGCAGGTTTTACCTTGAGCAAGGGTAGAAAAACCTGAAACCTGGGAATGGAGACTGAATCTTGCATTTCCTGGCCAGCCCTCCCAGGAGCTGTCAAGACCCTTCCTTATGATTGCCTTGTTTGGTGGTTTCCCAGATTTTGTGCACATTTTCTCCTCTGAAAATATTGAAGTGGCTCTCCTAGGGTTTTCATTATTTCCTGGAAGAGCTTGAAGATAAAATACGTTGTTATTTTTGGCGTCATCCTTTACCCTGTCTCACCCCTAGAAGGAGGCCCCGAGAACATCTCTGAAACTCAATTTGGCACTTGAAAAACATTTAGCATTGTTGAGGATAGGATGTTATACGTATGCCTGTAGGACCCATCATTTAGGCTGGACAGGGGATGGAGCTGTTTCCTTGGGCCACGTATGACGTCATAGTGCTCATGTTCAGAATCAACTTGTCAGCATATAATAATAATTATTATGCATCTAAGCCTGTGTGTATGTTTTTACTTTATTGTACAGTTGTACACACTGGACATTTCTAATGGTAGCACAGGACAGAATAATGTGAACACTGGGATTTAGAACTTCATGTGTACCTGGAGATCAGACAATATGTGACACTAGCTTTGCAATTAAAAGGTCATGAAACATTGCACTTCTAGAGCCAGATTCCTTCAAATCTGCCATGCCTGGTCTATCACATTTGCCAATGAAATTTATGTTTAATCCTCAAGCACTAATCAAGGTCAAAGCAAAAGCAAAGTACAGAGGTAATGAAACCTCATGCCAAGATGAACAAAGGGAGTTCTTAAAGGAAATTTGCTTCTAATGATATGATATTCTATCTGTGTTGTGTAGTTTAATGGTGAAAGAATGGGACTATGCTAGCATGAGTATTTTTAGATCTGCATTCTATATATGGGCACAGACTTCAAAATCTACATTTTAAAAAACCCAGCCAACTTAAGATACTTGTGAAATGAAAATGGAAAAGACTACAAAGACTACAAAGACTACAAAAACTACAAAGATACTTGTGAAATGAAAATGGAAAAAGAATGAAAAGTAACGAGGAGTGTTTTTAGAAACCATAAACATAACTGAGAGCAAACATGTACAGAGTTAGAAGCTATCTGTCCCTTACATCTCTTGTTTTCAAGAAATTGTCACTCAGCAATGCTACTTTGTAAATGACACCTTCTTGGCAGTGTAAGCTCAATTGGTGGTGTGTAAATTAAGAGTGGAGTGTAAGGAAATTTGTTTATCCATAAAATATATTGGAATAAATGTTTGGAAGTGTACTGCCCAAACAGAGCAAAATAGAGGGAAGTGAAGAGAAGCAGAGTTATTGCATCAGAAGTGAGCAAACAATGTTCTTGCAAATTTATATGGTATTAGATTAAAAAAAATATGAAAACCCTTCCTGCAGCTGCAGAAAGCTTACAGAATGTTGTTCTTCCTTGACCATCTGCTTCTCCTGCCAGTGACTGGAACAACTGCCATCTTATCTACATTTGTGCATGTACAAGCTAGTCCTACAGTTGACTTTCCTCTTATTTCTTTATCTTGTTCTAGTATTTTTCCTGTTTTTCTCGATATTTTCTAAAATCAATTCTGCCGAAGACAATCTTATCTTCATACTGCATTACTGGGTAACCAAATTCCTCATTTCTCTCACCATTCAGTGTATGTGCTTAAAGTCATAGCAGTCTAACCTCTAAAGAGAGTGACTAACCCTGTCTCCTGCTTCTTGAATAAGACTTGGCAAATACATCAGGAGGAATTCGCAGATCTGTAAGTGCATTAAAACAGGCCATCAGTCACTCTTCCATATAATGATGTGCTGACCTTTTAAAAGACCACTTCCCTAATAGTGCAGTTGAAGTATGCTATAAAAATCTACTTAGCACTTGATATTTGTTTTCTCTTTTTGTTCTTTCCCCAATCATGTGGTTCCTGGCTACCTCTCCAGCATGCCCTTAGGTCTGCTATTGCTGAATGCCAGGTGAATCTAAATAAAAGCTTCTCACCCAGAGGAGTGGTGGTAATTTTGGAAGGGGGGGCTCATAATCCCCAAAGTTAGCTCCCCCCCAAAGAAGAGCCCCAAAATGGCGGCAGCCAGATTGATCCATTTGAACTAAGGAACAGCTGGTCTTCTGTAAAGCTGATGGCTCTTAATAGTCCAACCAAGAGCAAATCACTCTCCAATATTTTACATTATAACATGGATAGCCTTCAGGCATATACTCTTTCTGAATGTAGGTCCATTTTTCTCCAGTTGTTATGAGAACTGCAGGTAAACTCAGAAGGAACAGGGAAGCCTGAGGGAGGTGGCTGATCAATTCATAGACTTTGCTAATCAAGAAGTCCTGGAGCCTCAACCCTGCAAATCCTGGCTCTACTATACCATTGCCCTCACCCATTATTTAACTGTGGATGAGAAGACTGTTCTGGTTTCTACCACCAAAAGCAATTTAGTCTCACTCAGCTGTGCTATCCTTGGTACATGGTATATCACCAACATATACTTGATGGCTGGGGACAGGAGATTGCCCTCACTGCTGTAGATCACTGCAAAGTGTAGCCCTTCGGCTGTTGGACTGTAAACCCCATCATTCTTCACTATTGGCTAAGTGTGATGACAGCTGTACTCTAACAATATCTGGACAGCTGCACTTTATTCATGCTGGTCTATAAGAATTCTATCTTCCTCTCTAGGATTCTTCTGTATTTAAGTGACAATTGTCATGCTTTTAATTCCCAGAGTTAGCAAAATTATTTTTAGAACAGCAAGTCATTCTTATTAATCACCGTAATATTTCAAAGCTAATTCTTTGCCATTAATTATTAAAACATATGTCTCATTATATTACTCATTACACTGCTTTTTGTTTTTCTTAATTAATTAAAAAAAACCTTTGCCTGATAAGAGAATGGCATCAGACTTGAAAAGTTTTGTCAAAATTCTTCTAAAGATGTTCTTAAGTAGTAACTTTGGAAAAATAAAGTTGAAAAACATCAATAGAATATTACTGCTTGCATCAGTAAACTTTCCAAAAGAGGTCTGTGTGGGGGACTTTACTTGAAAGGAAAATGTTAAGGTTGAAATTATAAATCAAAAGAAAGGAAATTTAGATCTAAGACCATCCCTAAAACTCACTCAAACAATGGGCACATTGATTCACCTTTCTTAATTTTCATCTCAAATCAGCTTTGCTCAATGATTCTCTAAAGAGGAGGGGAGAATCTGTTGACCTAAATGTCAACCCATTAAATACAACAAATTGTCCTTCTCTTACATACAGATGAGTTGGGCAAGATTAATAAAGTCTCTGGATAGGACTGTGCTGCAGCTTTGGTATCTGCAGATGTTGACACCGTCAAAGTCATTTCAGCTCTTTTAAACCACTAATGATATGCTGTCCAATTATGCAAAACAACTACAACCCTAAACCCCTCAGTCTTATGAATGTGAGATATTGTGCTTGCTCCATGATTCAGAACGACAGGAAATGGCCAGCTATTTCTGGACAATATTGTGCCTGCATTGCCAGTAGGAAAAAGGATGCCAAACTTCATATAGCAAAAGATGGCCTGAAAGTTGACGATACTCATGTTAGCAGTCGTGATGGTCTACAGGATACCCTTTTGTGCTCACTACTGTTCACAAAGAGACACCAAGCAGGTGAAATCCCAGAATATGATCCCATTTTTCATCACTAACGACTTTTCACCCAAACTCAAAGCAATTGTCAAGATTTTTTTTTAAAAAAGGCTAATTATACTTAAACAACACACAGCTGCAACTTCCCTCATGCAGAAGTATCCAATGCTAGAGGATCCCAGAAAATAATCACCTGAACTGTAATATGGTTGCTGAAGGAGGGCAGCACCAGGAGCAGATGGGAAGTGGCTACAATCACCTGTGTCAAAATATTCTGAAAGGCTGTTTTGGACTTAATGTAATGATGAAGCAAAAGTGTGAGTGAGCACAACACAGACTAGCAAGCTATATTCCAATTTCCAAACCCTTGATCTTCAGATGGATTATTATTTCATTATTATCTATTTAAAATATTATTACCCTGCCTTTCTTCATAAAAGGACCCAAGGTACCCTGTTACCTGCATGTTTTTCCAAACGACATCCCCTTGCCTTTTATGATAAAAAAAAGTGTGTGTGGGGGTTTCCTGAGAGTTAGCAAAGATTGTCTCTTGAAACTGAGCTCAACATCATTCATACTACGTGCAAGACACTTGCAGAATGTTGGAATAATGACGTGACATAGTCTTGATCTATGACATACAAATAGTAAGTGAATGGATAACTTCAAAAATGGTACAGAGATATCAATAGCATGCTGACTTGAATAATAAGAGTCCAGGGCAACCAAATTAATTAAACTGTATGATTCTGTACTTAGAACACAAAGTTATGCACCTTCAAAGCTGCAGCCCAAAATGAGCAGGTGTGGGAGGGGACAAACATCAAAGTCATGTCCTTTTGTTCACTAATGACAACTAGACTATGTTCCCATACATACAAATATTGACATATATTTAGCTGCATTTACTTTATTATATAATATTATGTACATATAACTGAAAATTAGCTCCTAACACTTAATCATTTATTTGAAAATAGTCCCTAAAAGACTAACTGTGGTTGATTTTGCATAACTATAATTTCATGTGATATTTTAATACAGGTTGTTTTGCTCTGCACTTTCATTTCACTATTGTTTTAAAAATTCATTGGTTTTCCTTTGATTTCTTTTATATTGCACCTTCATTTTGTGGCTCTTATTTCCAGTTTCCTGTGATTCAAATAAACATTCAAATTAATTGCACCTGTGGATGGCCTCAGATCATCTCTGGTTATGCCTTCGCTCACTGGGGCAAATAAAGGACCTCATTTTCAAGAACTTGGTAATTCAACAGCAAGACATTACAGCCAGTATCCCATTCAGAGCAGAAGGCAATCACATAAGTGCTCCCCTAAACGGAGAGCCTGATGAGGGAGGAGCACACTTGTGCTCTAAATTCCTACTGGCCAAAGACTGAAAAGAGGGCTGATGTCATTTGTTAGAAAGCAAAATAAAAGCCTTAGTGAAAATGAGCTGCAAATATGGTGCAAAATTTCAGCCTCTGTGGCCATAGTGTCTTCATGAAGGCTTTGATATTCCAATCCAGTCAAGGATTTTACATCATGAACCTTAATCTGCAACTCTTTTTAGGATACCTGAAGAATCGCCTCATCTCATGACTTGGACCAATGAACGGTTCAACTTCTGCCAATAATGGAAGAATAAATAACAGCTACAACATTTCTGTCCTTTAGAACAGCTAATGAATTTCTGTAGCCTTCTAAAAAAATATTGGCCCATTGGAATCCTATTTGTCCCATTTTTGCTTGATTGTCTAGAATAGATTATGAGTGAGCAACTTCTTCAACCTGAAAGCTACATCTGGATATGGACATTGTATGAGGCATGGGTGTAGCAAGATGTCTATCAACAGCTAGCTGGGGCAGCTTCTGAACCCAATGAGAAAAATCCTGTTGCTTAGTGCAGTAAATTGTACTAGAGCAGGCCCACTGAATCTATGGGGAGTCAACTCCTCCATACGTTTCAATGATTCAAATGGACCCATTCAAATCATCCTCATGTGGGAGGACTAACTGAGAGGGGATTTATATCCCCGTTGTAATTATTCTGTTTTTTTTCCTTCTAACTTGTTTTTGTACTGGTAAAGCCATAAAGTTCTAAATTTAGCAAAATAAACAACATAAAATTTGTTAGTAAGAAATGCAACTATTACTTTATGTCAAACATCGCCCAGACCACTTACTAATTATTTGATATACCAAAGAACAGGAGACAATATTATCCTGATGAGGTATGTGTTCACCCCAGAGCTTTTCAAAGCAAATGCAAGCTCCTGAAAGAATTTGTAATGCTCCCTTCAAACTGGGAGGGAATCTGATATTGAATCTAATGAGGCTACATAAGAGTTACCACTGCAGTAAGTAATGCCATCTGCCCCTACCTGCTTTGCTATTACTTCTTGAGGGAGATTTGTTTTAGTTCTTTGATGAGAGCAGCAGTCAAATGGGTATACACTCTGCTGCAAAACCAAAGATGAATACTGAAAAACCAATAAGTTGTTTTTAAAAAACAAATAAAAAATTCAAATTGATTATAAACCACACCACTAGAAGTGTATTTAATGAGTCAAGAGCAACATTGATATCTGAATGCCTCTCCACAGTTAGTCTAAAGCTGTTTCAAAATCTGAGCTGTGAATGCCATTCTGAGCTAAGAGTACACCGAAATATTATTTTAAAAATACTGCATATTAAGATCTTAAGGTATAATAACTGCTGGACATATCTAGTGTTTGCATTTTTGATACAGCTGAAATGTCACTGACCCGGCATATGAGGAAATTATCAGAGAATAGTTAAAATTCAGTCTTTTAAAGAAAAACAGCAAAAGCAAGTACGAATCCATCCCTAGAGCATAATTCTTATTTATTTCGGAACAGAAGACAATAAGCACACTCACCATTTGCTTCAATGGCTAAGAACATGTAGAAGAAGGAACTAGGTGGCATCTTTATTTTGTATCTGAGAAGCAAAGAAGTAGTGCTGTGTCCCAGATTTCATCCAGCAGTTTTCTGTTCCTGGTTAGACACTACGTATAGGAAGCTTCCAGTCCACTCCTTGTTTTCTCTGTCATTCTCCTTTGCAATCTCTTTCCCTCCCTTTCTCACTGTGAACAGAGGCATAAGCACACACCAACCAGCTCCAAAAAGGAGGGGAGGAGGTGGGGGTGGATAGTTTCAAAGAACAAACAGTCTCTCCTTGTTTATCCTAGGTTCCCATCCCTGTGGCTAAAGTTGAGATGTACACAACTTGACTGATCAAGGCTGTCATGGTCAAAATAATCAATCACTTAATCAATAGAGTTACAATCGGTTGTTGTGTGTGCTTTAATTTTTTTTAAATTGGGAAACCACTAAAGAAGCACAATCTCATTTAAGTGGGTTTATTCTTCACAACATTGTGTTTTTCCTAGCATCCAGGGAAGTTTCCCACTTCCCTTTGTCATGAAAATAAGTTTCATTTACAAAGTAGCAAACCTATGACAAGAATATCAGATAAAGAAATTGAACCAGGGAGGGAAAAAAAGGAATGAAACTGGAAAACCATCTTTTCCTATGCTTTGCAGGTTGGCATTGGCAGGGCACATAGCATGGAAAGCACTGATCTTTGTAGGGTTTTGTACGGTGTACACATATTTCCAGAGAGATAACTGTGTTGGCGTGCTACATTTAAAACAGCAAAGACATTTGACTTGTGGTAAGTTCAAGGCTAGAAAGCTTTACAAAAGTTTAATCCATATGAAACATGACAGTCTTTAATATGCCACAAGGGTCTTTGACATTTTACAACACATAGAGAGTTTTTGCATTCAGTTTCTTTCTTTAAAAAAGGATTATCCAAGTTACTTTTGGAGTTTAAGGTTCTGAAACCAAGATGATGTCCTAAATAAATACGTTTTCATTCCTGTTCAACTGCAGCAAATAATGCTCAGTACATCTTTGCCTATAAAGGTCGGGAGGCTTGAAAGCATGAACTCTTGCAGGACACTGTGCTATTTGCTTTTGAGATCTGATAAGATTTGCTGGAGCCTTCATCACATATTACTTTCCCCTCCCTGAAGGCAGATTTTCACCTTATGGGAAGGTAGTTGGATAACAGGGAAGAAACCTGAATGCTTTCTGCTTTCTGTGTCTAGGGGTACTCAGAATGATATATTGGATAGAGTAATGGACTAGGACTTCGGAGACTAGAATTTGAATCCCCATTTGGCCATGGAAAGTCATGTGGGGGTGGAACTGGCAAAACTACTTCTTAAATGCCTCACTTATCTTGAAAACTGTATTAGGGTCACCATAACTATATGAGGGTCATTACAAGTCTGATTTGTTAAGGAATCAAACATTGTTAAGGAATCAAGCATGCAGAAGATGTTCACAATTTTTATAAGTGGGAATAACTGAGGCTGAGAGTCTCTTGCTGAAAGAACTATCAATGACACTCAGAAAAGATAACTCAGAAGTACCCAGCTGCAGGAGAATCAGTGGTGGCAAGGTCATAAACTTCAACAAGGCTCCGAAATGTAACACATCTATCTATATTTGGATGTTCATCCTTTGGCTGTGTAGTTCCATCCTGTAGCTATTCGATGTCTGTAAAGGTGGTCATCTTTGGCCGGGGGAGCACTGGTGGTGAAGGCAGGAAAAAGACACGGAGGCTCTTCATATGTTTCAACATCAACGGCTTTATTCATAACATTACTCAACTCTGCAGGATCAAACGGGTCCTGTAAACAACTTTCAGTCAATAAATGATATCTTTTTGGACGCACATCTTGTATTCTTTCAGACTCCCCTAAAAGGGTGCCAGCCTAAAGCGTTCGCGGTTGGTCATGGGACGTAGAGGGGCACTCCGCACCGCACATACCATGCCACAGCACGGGTGCCTCGCCCAATCTCCTTCCAGAGGTTTCTTTTGGAATTCGAGTCCCGGCCGAATCACTCTCCTCCCACCAGGGCAGTTTCGAGGGAAAACCGTCACTGTCCATTCTAGTGGGTCATACCACTTGCCTCTTCCTCCAGGCAGAATGGGGTCGGGAAGCAGGCCTCCTCCCGACACAAGATTAGGGAATCCCATTTTGATGTCTGTAGAGGACCAACTCTCGAGCATGGGTTCTGTTTGAACCCCTCGGTTCTTCCTCTCCTCTTGACCTAGGTCTGTCTCCAATCTGAAGATTCGCGCACTTTTTCCCTCCCCTATATCCTCCCAGACTATCGGATCTAACTCCTCCCCTCCTTCCTCCACAAGACACACCTCCGCTGATCTTTGTTCTACAGGGTCAGCTTGCTCTATCTCTATTAGGATTCCCTCCACACATCCACTCTCCTCTACAGGTTACTTTTCCTTTGAGGATGGCGCACTCTGCAGTTCTCCTTCACAATGTCTCACCTGTACCTTGATTAGTCCTGTAAAATAGGAATGAAGGCTAAATTCAGAAATGCTTGGCATGAGTTGCACCTACTGTTTCTGCTACCATGCCTACCAGTGATGTGAATGGCCATTGACTGCTAAGCACTGTTGACATGTACTTTGCCTTTTTGTTGTTGTTGCAGATCCACTGAAAACACATTTGAACTTCAAGCCACAAAAGAGTTCAATCAGAATTTTAATGTATTTTGACTGCAGCAGAACAGTACTGTGCATTCAATCATTGAAAGTGCTGATACCGATGGTGAGAGATAAAGGAAGGGTAACAAAATTAGTAAAAAAAGAAAGATAGCCATATTGGAAAAACTCCTACACACTCCACAGTTGGACAATATGTTCACTAGAAATGGCACAAAATAAGGAACCAAAGGTGCCTCCAGAACTTTTTCATCAAACTGGATGGTGTGCAGAGCAGGTGAAATGAAAAAAGGGATAAAGAAAAGAAATGTCTGTTTCCATGGTTAGATCTAAAGTCATGGCCAGAACTATTTATCAGATTGTACCTATGTTTTTTGAGGATTTTCTAGGTAAATATCCCTTAGAATTTCAAAGGCATTGTTCAGCTAATCCATTTCCCCAATGGATTCTCAGTAATAGAAAAGAAAAATGGAAAAAGCAATGGGAAACCATTGGAGGGTGACAAAGGAGAAATGAAATCATCTGGAACTCCCTCAGCCAATTGTGACGATTGCCCACATCACTCATGCCATTCATGTTCATGAGCTGATTTGCATGATTCTATGAGATGACTGGAGAGGTGGAGTCAGCAGCTTGACGGGAGTCAGATAGGGCTGGTTAGTCAGAGAGAGGGGACAGATATCGAAGGAGGAGTCAGATAGGGCTGGTTAGTCAGAGAGAGGGGGGACAGATGTTGAGAGAGATAAAGCTGGTTAGGAAAATAGGTAGAGAAGGTGGTAATGATATAGCAAGAAAGAAGAAGCATGTACTGAGAACTGTTGATAATTTGCTTATGTTTAAGGTGTATCTGAAGAACTTGTTATTATTCAATCTGCTTCACTCCAATAAATAAGTTCTGTTTCTGTTCAGAAGACAAGTGTTCTGACAAACATAATTTATATTGTGGATTGAGGTAATCCACTGGTGGCAGCAAGAAGAAAATGCTACGTGAGCCTTTTTGAGGGAAAGACAAGCAGGGGCCACAAGGGCAAATGCAACACCGATCATCAGATCATAATATTTGCGAAGGCTTTCACGGCCAGGATCTAATGGTTGTCAACGAAAGCTGGTTAGGAAAATAGGTAGAGAAGGTGGTGATGATATAGCAAGAGAGAAGAAGCATGTACTGAGAGAACTGTTGATAATTTGCTTATGTATAATGTATATCTGAAGAATTTCTGTTATTATTCAATTTGCTTCACTCCAATAAATAAGTTCTGTTTCTATTCACATGACAAGTGTTCTGACAAACATAATTTATATTGTGGATTGAGGCAATCCACTGGTGGCAGCGAGAAGAAAATGTGACGTGAGCCTTTGTGAGGGAAAGACAATCAGGGGCCACAAGGGCAAACACCACACCAATCATCAGATCATAACTTTGTACAAATGGAGTAAGAAGACTGCACAACAAATGCCTCATCTGGAAGCACCCACAGACAAACATCTTCCTTTTTATATGATTAGAAGCTGGGCTGTTATCTTGAACCAGGTTGTATACACTGATAACATAGTATAAATAGATCTTTGTGTTAACATTGCTTTTAGACCAGCTAACAATACTCATCAACCACAGGAACAGATAATCTCTTCTCCTTAGCACAACAATACACCCACAACAATACACGCTAATCACCCATCTACAGAAAAAGACAAAAGCCTATCTCACAGCCATAAATACTGCACTCCCAAAGCCAACTACACCAGAGCACAGAGTACTGTCCTCTGAAGATGCCGGCCACAGAGACTGGTGAAACGTTAGGAAGAACAACCTTCAGAACATGGCCAAAGAGCCCGAAAAAACCCACAACAACCATCAGATCATAACTTTATACAAATGGAGTAAGAGACTGCACAATAAATGCCTCATGTGGAAGCACCCACGGACAAATATCTTCCTTTTTACATGATTAGAAGCTGGGCTGTTATCCTGAGCCAGGTTGTATACACCGATAACATAGTATAAATAGATCTTTCTGTTAACATCACTTTCTCTGTGGTCTTTCTTGCTGTGACAGCAGAAGAAAAGTATGCAAGCTGAGGCAGCAAAACCTCAGAAGCATGGTTACCAGGGACCAATGTAGAAAAGTAGCTGAAGCATCCTAAAAGATGAACCGGAGCAAAGTTCACTTCACAATCTGATTTATGTCAGAACTAGAATATATGATGTGGACGATTAATGCATTTGAACCAGTAAGCAAAATTGCAGAGAACAATAGCAATTCTGCAAGAAATAGTTTTCTCTTATTCTACAGGAATGCAGATGTAGAAATGGTTGACTCAAGAGGGTGTTACATTTTTCCCATCAGGTTTTATGTGCCTACTAGGTTCCTAACAAGGAGATGAGAGAGAAACTTGTATTTTGTTTTGCTGGTAGAGATCAATTGAACTGCAGTGGTTCGGGTCTCTGGCTGTGGAGCCCCAGGTTGGGCGTTCAGTACCCCACTGTGCCTTGCTGACTGGGGCTGGACTCAACGATCCATAGG